AGAACGATCTTTTCATTCTGTTTTGTGCATTATATCTGTGCAACTCAGGATTGTCAAGATTAATCGAGAAACATTGATTTAACTAATATTTGAGAACGTTATTGCAAAGTACATTGCATAGAGAGACCTCCAAGTTCGTGACCTCTATTAGATAACGAAAAGAAGTCCGTCGAAAGAAAAGGTCAAGAATCACTGCTTTAGAAAATCGATTTCGTTATAAATGTTTATTGTGAGTACATGCAATAAGAGTAATTTATAACCACGAGCACTGTTTTCTTATAACCGAGCTCGTGTGCCCTGCGTAGTAACATAACAGAGACGTGTGGAGAGATTCATGAGGTTGAACTAATCGACCAAGCGGGCGGTTAGGTTACGTATCTTCGAAATCGATATCCTCGTAAACGAAGGCCGTTATACCAAAAAGTTTTATCCTACGATTTCAATTTATTTTTTGCATATAGTCAGTTATTACTACGAATATTAAAGGCGTGAAAAAGAAAGTCATTCCATTTTTATCTTAGAACTTTTCTAAATTATTAAGATAGAAATTAACAATTTTCTTTGTACAATTCTTGTAAATCAAGGATCTGTTTATTAACGCCAACTTCTTGAAAACTTTTAGTCGCGTCAATTTTCGTTTTTTACAAAAGAAGTAACAATTTCAGTTAAACGGTTGTATGCAAGTTTTGAAGTTGAACAGTTAATAAAACATGTGTGTTCTATATAAACGATTATAAAGTATTTTTATTTTATTTGAAGCACTGATAAATTTCAGTATATTTATTCTATCAACCTTATAGAAACGATGATTTATCATATAAACATTTTATTAACTTATTATGATAACGTAATTTAGTATGACGCATACAACCACGTGATAATAGAGACCATTTAATTATGTATTGTATTTATTTACGAATCAATTAAATACGACACAGAAATACATAATAATTGATCCATTATGATATCATATTACAATACATTAATATTGTATTATAATTACGAGTGAACAATTGGTACATTAATTCATATAGTAGAAATATTTGTCACTTGAATTTTAGCAATCTTTTATTTGGTATCAGTTATGTTTTCCAAACACTTAATTTCAAGGATACTTTCTTCTAATAATTCTGTGTATATAGAGTCTTCGACCACCCCTGGGAAAAATATTAATGGGGAATCCTAGAGGCCAAAATAAGACGAAAATCAAGAATGTTAATTTGTTAATGGAGGTTTCGTTAAAAAGTTATTAACAATTAAATTCAAAAATTTCAAATCGTTCTGGAAAAATTATTTTCGGTTGCGGAGCTCAATTACAATCATTTTTTGTCATTACACATACCCCACAAATCCTACCCACTTTCTAGAAAAAAATTCGAGAAGGTATGAAATTTTTCGACGGAAAAAAAATTTCAAATCGTTCTGGAAAAATTATTTTCGGTTGCAGGGGTCAATTACAATCATTTTTGGTGAATAGACATACCCCCAAAATCCTACGCATTTTCGAGAAAAAAAAATCCTCACCGAAAATCTAATTAGATGCCTAATTCAACAAAAAAAGATTTCAAATCGTCTGGAAAAATTATTTTCGGTTGCAGGGGTCAATTACAATCATTTTTGGTAAATAGTCATACCCCCCAAAATCCTACGCATTTTCGAGAAAAAAATTCCTCACCGAAAATCTAATTAGATGCCTAAATTTTTCAACAAAAAAAGATTTCAAATCGTTCTGGAAAAATTATTTTCGGTTGCAAGGGTCAATTACAATAATTTTTGGTCATTATACATACCCCCGAAATCCTGCACATTTTCGAGAAAAAAATTCAGTACGAGCGGAATTTTAAACGTTAATAACTTTTTAACAAAGCCTCCATCAAAAAATTGGTATTCTTGATTTTCGTCTTATTTTGGCCTCTAGAATCCCCCATTAAAATTTTTCCCAGGGGTGGCCGAACACTCTGTATAATGAGAATTTTGAATGAATTATTATAACTACAATACAAACTTTTTGTCTCCGTATCTTAAGTGTAGAATTTTTCTCTATTAAAGCAAGGTACCTCCCAGAGAATTTGAAAATCGCTCATTCCTATCAACATTTACAGTTTATTTATTATATTCAGCTACACATACACAAAATTTCCAGATTGACATTGGTCTCTTGTTTTCCAAATAGAACTATGCACGATGGTTTTTAATAGTCGTTGAAAAGTATAAATTGTTATTCTCTGTTATTTAATATCCACAAACGTACATCTTCGAGAATACTTTCTTTTCCTATTACCGTCTACCCTTCGCTTTGAGAGACAATTTCCAAGTGAAAAATGGATGTTCGAAAAACAAGCACTGCACCTTCGGGACTTATCACGCCGAAGGGTCTCTCTTTCAAAGCGTTGCCTCGGATAGAAGGTTTGCATTGTAACGCCATGTCCATTGTCCTTTGGGGATCACTTTCCAGCGCAAAATTTACAACCATCATGGTAAAATGAAATTAAAGGATACCTCTCGCAGGAGCGTAGCGAGAACAACAAAATGAAACTTGCCCCACACGATGAAAACTGCTGTAGGCAATTCTATAATCACATTACAATAAAACTATCTATAAGAAACGTGATGGATCTCATAAAATTTAAATTTGAAGATTATCTTTTTAATTTTTTTTCAATAACATTTTTCCTAACGTTTTCATATACTTCTTGTTATTTGTTAAATTTCTTATCTAATACTCAACACTGTAAGGGGATAATGTACTGTAAACATTTCAAAAGATAAATATCTTTTTGGTCCAAAATCTGAAAAATTTTCAATATATAGATTTCAAACGTTACATTCTGTTTCGTTATTTATTTCAATATATTTATTGCGATTCAGAGAGTTCGAAAGTTCTAGAAATCCAACTTATTTACGTTGAGTTACCTTAAATACTAAATTCATGAGCGACAAAAAATACTTCTTTGGAAATATCTCACACGTGATAAGTCGCATATTTTCACGTATTTCTTGGACTGGACAACCCTTTCGAATAAAATAAAACAGAACTAATCAGGAAATATCGCGACAGGATGTAATTTATTTATCCTACGAGTGCACAGGGTGACAATCGGACGATCACGGCCCTGATTTTGTAAGCCCATTGAGGGTGTTAGTGTCAGACAGGTTTTTGAGGCTTCGGTTGTTAACGAAGTCGATTGTCCAGGTGAAATGTACACCATGAATCGCCCGTATACCTGCCATGGCAGGCTTTTCTTCACGAGTGGCTCAGGTGTCGCTTCAGGTACCAAGTCCACAAATCACGAGCGTGCAAATCGCGCAAAAATTTCCTCTCCGATGGACGGTTTGCCCACCTCGCTGGGCATTGTCGTTTCGCAGCAGGGGTATTTCCCGAAAGGGGGCGGGGGTGGAGGGGAGTGTCTTCCGAGAATTTACGGGATCAGAAGAGCCGTACGAATTTCACAAAGTACGAGGTGCAACGGATACCTTACGCGTGACGAATACTTTCGAGACCTTTACTAGCCCTTTTACCGGGCATTACAAATTGAAACGAACTTCCAGAAATGCGAGAAGTTTCCGGAATGACAATGAAAACGAAATAAATCTGTTCTAAATTACATTTTTTTTTTCAACATAGTCCCCTCGGAGCACGTTTCTCTAGTTGTTCTATTTCCACCCGGAAGTGACTTTCTTCGAGATCACCAAAACATTCGTTTACAGCCTTCAATCCATTATGATTTGTAGCAAATAAATTTGTTGTTTTTTGTATAATACACTTTGCAAACAAAATACAAAAACAGTGAATAGTTATGTTTATTTAAAAAAAAATACTTTGATTTCAATAAGTGTCGTGAAACTTTGCAAACAAAATACAAAAATGGTGAAGATTTATATTTATTTTTAGAAAAAAATGATTTCAATAAAAGTCTTGAAAAGTGTACATTTTCCCAGGTATTTTTAAATGATACATAGAAAATTTGTAAAGTACCATAAGAATTAAGTGCTTTCACAGATAACAAATATGCACACTTTAATTTGTAGAAAATAAATTTTGCTGTCTTTTATATAATACACTTTGCAAACAAAATACAAAAATAGTGAAAAATTATGTTTACTTTTAGAAAAAATATTTTGATATCAATAAATGTCGTGAAAAATATTATCCAAAGTATTTTTAAATGATACACAGAACAGTTGTAAAGCACCATGAGAATTAAGCGCTTACACAGATAACGTTAACGCTCAGGTTTTGCAGCGCTGTAAATTGCCATCTTGTTCTGTGGCTCGTACAAGTATGCATGCTTTAATTTGTTAAAAATAAATTTTGCTGTATTTTATATAATACACTTTGCAAACAAAACACGAAAATAGTGAAAAGTTATGTTTATTTAAAAAAATATATATTGATTTCAATAAGTGTCGTGAAACTTTGCAAACAAAGTACAAAAATAGTGAAGATTTATATTTATTTTTAGAAAAAAATGATTTCAATAAATGTCTTGAAAAATTAGTAGTATTAAGTGGTGCACAGAAAAGGTGTAAAATGTAATGAGAGTTAAGCACTTCCACAGATAACGTGAACGCTCAGGTTTTGCAGCGCTGTAAATTGCCATCTTGTCCTTTGGCTCGTACAAATATGTACGCTTTAATTTGTAGAAAATAAATTTTGCTATTTTTTATATAATACACTTTGCAAACAAAATACAAAAATAGTGATAGTTATGTTTATTTATTAAAAAAAAAATATTTTCACTTCAAAAATGTCGTGAAAAATATTATCTAAAGTATTTTTAAATGGTACACAGAAAAGTTGAAAAGTACCATGAGAGTTAAGCTCTTCCACCGATAACGGTGAACGCTCAGGTTTTGCTGCGCTGTAAATTGCCATCTTGTCCTTTGGCTCGTACAAGTATGCTCGAGCATTTGGCGATTAATATCGGCGCACGACACCAACATATAAACATTAGTGTCGCAAGAGGGATATAAATGTTAGTCGGAAGCCCCGTGCGCTTTAGTAGAGCTGATTGCTGCGTCTCGAGCAGCACGATGGAATTTTTGAGTTTCGATGTGACGAAGAAAACGCTCGCGTTGAAGAAGGCCGCGGTCCCTGAACCGAAACCGGACGAAGTTCGAGTTAGGGTAGCATACGCTGGAATCTGTGGAACCGATCTTCACATAATCGACGTACGTCTGCTACCATAACGGTTTATACACCAATCGATATCACGATAAAATTGTACAAATGTGCAAAAAAACATGTTATGCTCCACGAAATGGGAAACGTTTGCTGTTGCATCTCTAACAAATCACCGTGTATATTAATTCTAAGTCAGTGCTGCTGAAAACTGCTTAAACTCGTGCGATTTATCGTGACTGCTTTCGATATAATTGAAACTCGCGGTGTTTATCTTATATTTAGATTCTGGATCTCTATTTTGTTCGCGTAAAATTCTAGAAACAATTACTTATCGCGAAATAAACTCCAGTGTTTTTCAAACTGTGGTCCGTGAAAGCGTCGATGGAGAAGAAAACGAATTACAAATTAATAAAATACCAAAGAAAGGCAGTGGAAGCTAAGAAGCTTGAAAAAAACAAGCTGTAATTTTCTGTACAATTTATGTCATCTTACTCTGCATTTATTAAAAGTAATAACAGCAAATTTTCGAAAGAAGGACTTTACAATACTAATTAATAAAAGAAATTAATTTATTATCAAATGGGATTAATAAATCTCTTATCTTTCCGCCACAGTTTTAATAAACAACGTGCACAAATCTTAAATGAATAAATACGAAACCGTTGAAACAAATTTTTAAAAAATGTAAATGCATTGTATAAAAAATAATTTTGAAGTATATTTAATCCATAACAATTAGATTCTATAGTTCGACAAAAAATTTCCATCGTCGATGGGGGTCGCGAGTAAGTGAACAAATGATAAATGATAAATTAGGTATCTCCGCGAAAGTGTAAAACTTTAGAGCACTTTAGCTGAGTTAAGTTATAAGCTCAGTTTCTCATGAATTCTTAAACCAAAGCCTACATTCGCCTCGTGAACAGTGTTGACAGTTTTCGTAAGCATAGTTCCAAAATGGCTGAAGGTTAAAAGGTTTAGAAACGTTGTTCAATGTATGTCGACAACGTTTGCATTGAACATTCTGTTGCAAAATTAAATTTTTTAAACTTTTAAAATGAAAAATTTGTTTCTTCTTACAGCACGTTCTTTTCTAATATTTACCAACTGAACAATTAATTTTCAAGGTTTTTCATTGCCAAGGCGAAATTTTACGAGTTAACAATGTTAATTATTAAATTGCAGACTAAACGTTTCTATTCTCATTCAATTTAACGTTTGCTTCGCTTTTATCGTCTAATTTAAATATTTACGATTTTACTAGTGTACATATATCCACGAACGATAAGAATAATTTTCTTCTATGAACGTTCTACAAGAATAGTGCCTTTTTATTCAATGTTTACGTGACTTAAGCTGTCCTTTATCAATTACATTTCACGATTATGTCAGAGGCTATTGCGTAATTTCTCGCCGCGTTAAAGTCTTTTAAGTGGCAAAAGTTACGGTTACATGATACATACATATATATATTGTCCATGTGATAAATATTGACCTAACGCGATTTGAATTGTACGCAATGTGACTTATTGATTGCATACTGTTGTGTATATAATTTAAATAAACTGATTGGAATATTCCCACGAACGTAAAAATAATTTTCGTCCTTTGGAATATTTTGGTATTATTATTTAGTATTATGTATTATTAAATAAAGCCCAGAATGTCCTCTACAATTCCATTAATTTCTTCATCGTATTTACATGAATGTATTGTTTCGATAACAAAAGCGCGCGAAATTTAAATTTAAAAATTCTATTCTATAAAACTTTAGAAACCAAATATAAGCAATTGAAATAGTAGATCACGAATAAAACCAATGTATATCAATTTATTTTCAATTTGTCATTTTCATTGTTTATTTAATTATTTTACTTTGCCCATCTCGATAAAAAAGAGTTGTTTCTTATGGTACTATTGTTTGTTGATTTGGTATTAATTGCAAGGAAACTTTTCAGGGATCGTTTCCATGTAAGAAGGAAGGTTTCTTGACTCTTGGCCATGAATTTTCGGGCGTCGTGGACGCAGTCGGTTCGCATGTCAAAAGCTTGAAAGTTGGCCAAAATGTCGTTGTCGATCCCAATAGCGGTTGCAACACGTGCAATTACTGCCACGGCGGGAATTACCACTTTTGCAGCGCCGGTGGCATAAACCATACAGTGGGAATCTTCAGGGATGGGGGATGGTCCACCCACGCAATTGTTCCTGAATCGCAGGTTCGTGCTCCTTTCAACGATTTCCAAACTCTCAAACCTCCGATAGCTTTATTTCTTAATAAACCGTACGAGTCTCTATAATCCATTTTAAACCGCTTGACAATATTCAAGTATGTTCGAAACGTATGTGTATTGATCATTTTCTCACTTTTTTACGTTTCCTAATAATAGCCATCACTAGACTGCGAATTTTTATGCAAATTCATATTTTTATTAATAGAATTAATGAAATGGGAGCTTCGTCTCAACCCCTAAATATTTTACCCCAGGATATTTAGCCACTTTTAGAAAAAATTGTAATGGGAGATTCTAGAGACTAAAATAAGACGAAAATCAAGAATACTAATTTGTTGGTTGAGGCTTCGTTAAAAAGTTATTAACGTTTATAGTAGCTGTTCACAGACTGGCGCTCTGCAGGCAAAACTTTAAATGTTAATAACTTCTTAACGAAGCCTCCATCAACAAATTGGTATTCTTCATTTTCGTCTTATTTTGGCCTCTACAATCTCCCATTAAAATTTTCCCCAGGGGTGACTAGACACCCTGTATAATAATTCGTATCTTTAAGTATTTCTTATATTTTTGTATATTAAATGCATTCTATAGTATTTTGTGAATTAAAATTGCCCATAAATGCATAAACATCTGTAGTCTAGTCGTTACTAAAAAATTACGCTGTGAACAGAACTAGAATTGTGAACCCCGTGACTACTATTTTTAAAAATTGTACTTGAATATTGGCAAGTAGGTTTGAAACGTATGTGTATTGATCATTTTCTCACTTTTTTACGTTTCCTAATAATAGCCATCACTAGACTGCGAATTTTTATGCAAATTCATATTTTTATTAATAGAATTATTAAAATGGGAGCTTTGTCTCAACCCCTAAATATTTTACCCCAGGATATTTAGCCACTTTTAGAAAAAATTTTAATGGGAGATTTTAGAGACTAAAATAAGACGAAAATCAAGAATACTAATTTGTTGGTTGAAGCTTCCTTAAAAAGTTATTAACGTTTATAGTAGCTGTTCACAGACTGGCGCTCTGCAGGCAAAACTTTAAATGTTAATAACTTCTTAACGAAGCCTCCATCAACAAATTGGTATTCTTCATTTTCGTCTTATTTTGGCCTCTACAATCTCCCATTAAAATTTTCCCCAGGGGTGACTAGACACCCTGTATAATAATTCGTATCTTTAAGTATTTCTTATATTTTTGTATATTAAATGCATTCTATAGTATTTTGTGAATTAAAATTGCCCATAAATGCATAAACATCTGTAGTCTAGTCGTTACTAAAAAATTACGCTGTGAACAGAACTAGAATTGTGAACCCCGTGACTACTATTTTTAAAAATTGTACTTGAATATTGGCAAGTAGGTTTGAAACGTATGTGTATTGATCATTTTCTCACTTTTTTACGTTTCCTAATAATAGCCATCACTAGACTGCGAATTTTTATGCAAATTCATATTTTTATTAATAGAATTAATGAAATGGGAGCTTCGTCTCAACCCCTAAATATTTTACCCCAGGATATTTAGCCACTTTTAGACAAAATTTTAATGGGAGATTCTAGAGACTAAAATAAGACGAAAATCAAGAATACTAATTTGTTGGTTGAGGCTTCGTTAAAAAGTTATTAACGTTTATAGTAGCTGTTCACAGACTGGCGCTCTGCAGGCAAAACTTTAAATGTTAATAACTTCTTAACGAAGCCTCCATCAACAAATTGGTATTCTTCATTTTCGTCTTATTTTGGCCTCTACAATCTCCCATTAAAATTTTCCCCAGGGGTGACTAGACACCCTGTATAATAATTCGTATCTTTAAGTATTTCTTATATTTTTGTATATTAAATGCATTCTATAGTATTTTGTGAATTAAAATTGCCCATAAATGCATAAACATCTGTAGTCTAGTCGTTACTAAAAAATTACGCTGTGAACAGAACTAGAATTGTGAACCCCGTGACTACTATTTTTAAAAATTGTACTTGAATATTGGCAAGTAGGTTTGAAACGTATGTGTATTGATCATTTTCTCACTTTTTTACGTTTCCTAATAATAGCCATCACTAGACTGCGAATTTTTATGCAAATTCATATTTTTATTAATAGAATTAATGAAATGGGAGCTTCGTCTCAACCCCTAAATATTTTACCCCAGGATATTTAGCCACTTTTAGACAAAATTTTAATGGGAGATTCTAGAGACTAAAATAAGACGAAAATCAAGAATACTAATTTGTTGGTTGAGGCTTCGTTAAAAAGTTATTAACGTTTATAGTAGCTGTTCACAGACTGGCGCTCTGCAGGCAAAACTTTAAATGTTAATAACTTCTTAACGAAGCCTCCATCAACAAATTGGTATTCTTCATTTTCGTCTTATTTTGGCCTCTACAATCTCCCATTAAAATTTTCCCCAGGGGTGACTAGACACCCTGTATAATAATTCGTATCTTTAAGTATTTCTTATATTTTTGTATATTAAATGCATTCTATAGTATTTTGTGAATTAAAATTGCCCATAAATGCATAAACATCTGTAGTCTAGTCGTTACTAAAAAATTACGCTGTGAACAGAACTAGAATTGTGAACCCCGTGACTACTATTTTTAAAAATTGTACTTGAATATTGGCAAGTAGGTTTGAAACGTATGTGTATTGATCATTTTCTCACTTTTTTACGTTTCCTAATAATAGCCATCACTAGACTGCGAATTTTTATGCAAATTCATATTTTTATTAATAGAATTAATGAAATGGGAGCTTCGTCTCAACCCCTAAATATTTTACCCCAGGATATTTAGCCACTTTTAGACAAAATTTTAATGGGAGATTCTAGAGACTAAAATAAGACGAAAATCAAGAATACTAATTTGTTGGTTGAGGCTTCGTTAAAAAGTTATTAACGTTTATAGTAGCTGTTCACAGACTGGCGCTCTGCAGGCAAAACTTTAAATGTTAATAACTTCTTAACGAAGCCTCCATCAACAAATTGGTATTCTTCATTTTCGTCTTATTTTGGCCTCTACAATCTCCCATTAAAATTTTCCCCAGGGGTGACTAGACACCCTGTATAATAATTCGTATCTTTAAGTATTTCTTATATTTTTGCATATTAAATGCATTCTGTAATTTTGTTTAAATTAAAATTTCCCATAAATGCATAAACACCTGTACTCTAGTCGTTACTAAAAAATTGCTTACGTTGTGAACAGCACTAGAATTGCGTTGTTTTGTGAATTAAAATTTCCCATAAATGCATAAACACCTGTACTCTAGTCGTTACTAAAAAATTGCTTACGTTGTGAACAGCACTAGAATTGCGTTGTTTTGTGAATTAAAATTTCCCATAGATGCATAAACATCCGTAGTCCAGTCGTTACTAAAAAATTACGTTATGAAGAAGACTAGAATTGTGAACCGCGGGACTACCATTTTTAAAAATTGTATGATAAGACTAACTAATAACAGCGGAAAATAGTTGAACGTAAACATACGTTTAGAAAATCTATTCACGTCGTGCCTCGAATAGTTTTACTACGCAGTAAACGGCTTCGTAAACTTCACAGAGTTCGTTTTAATCTTGTTAGGTCAAAGGGATAAGGTGCGCCCTTTTATCGCGGGTCATCCGGACCCGAAGCAGCAGAGTTTAATTTTCGTCGAAAAGAACGAATACAGAAAAATAACAAATTTAATTTTATTTTTTATTTTGGTCGTTTTTAGGTCCATTTGTTACCCAAGGGCATTCCGATGCACATTGCTGCACTCACCGAACCTTTATCGTGTTTAGCTCACGGATGGGACAAGATTAATCCTGTTCACGTCGGTGATAATGTGCTTGTAATTGGTGCTGGAATAATTGGCCTTCTATGGTCCTGCTTGTTGCATTTGCACGGGCTCAGAAAATCCGTGACGATCAGCGAACCTCAAGAGAAACGACAGGAGATGGTATCTAAACTCAGTACGTAACGAGCACAAACACAAAATTAGGCAATTTATGCCCTTTGATTATTTACACATTACATTAATCAAAACTTGTTCTTTGCTACTACCATAACTGTACTCCTGGTCTCTTTGTTTCTCATTATTTCTTAATTATCTGGTTTGTTACGAACAACGAGAAGAATATTTAAATCGTTAACCTCTTAAACACTATCAATCATCCGCATTTTCGTATTTCTCCACATCTCTTTCCTAATCCATGTTGAACTTTATCGTACAAAACAATGAATCCTTTTCGCACGTAAAAGAGCAACATGAATCATAACGACTGCCATGGTTTCTTGTACACAGAACAATGGAAATCAAGATTAAACGAACAAGATAAAAAACATTATTTAGCTGTTAACAAATCTCTCGAAACAACGTGTCATCCGCTATACAAGTTACCAAATTACAATACTAAAATAATATAGTATAAATCTGTTTTCCAGATCTAGATTACGAAATAAAAAGACCAGATCAACTGAAAGAAGGATTCGACTTGGTCGTCGATTGCAGTGGATCAGGCCCAGCTATGGAAGCAGCTGTGCCTTTGTTGACTCGCGGTGGTCGTTTATGTGTGTTCGGTGTTGCCAGTCCTACGGCGAAATTGACCCTCGAGCCTTTCCAGGTAATTACTGACTCACGATTGCGTCATTTTACAGACACTCGAGTCATTAATTTCCTAGCATCGGTGAATTATGAAAGCGTTGCGAGTAAGATTGAACAGTTTTAATGTTTACTTTGTTTCCCGACAGATTTACATGAAGGAGTTAAATATTGTAGGTGTAAATATAAATCCTTTCACATTCCCAAAGGGATTGGCTTTATTGAGCGCGATGGCCGATAGGTATCTTGATTACGGTAAGCTAGGTATTAAGATATTCCCTTTGTCTGAGTACCGCGATGCCTTAGCAGCGCTGAAACGAGGGGATATCAGTAAAGCAGTTTTCAAATTATAAGAATGTCAAGTGGCAAAACGAAATAAAGAACATACATTACTTTTTAATTGATTCCTGATCATTTTATCCCGAGGAGATTTTTGGAAGTCAGGTCAGGAGCTTGAAGTTTTATTACAAACGCGTAGTACATTAAAAAGGCAAAAGTTTGACGCAAGTTTTGTTTATTAAAATCCATATTAGTTAAAAAGTAAATATAAAATTGCAAACTCGTAAAAAGGTCATACAAAATCTTACTTATTGAGATTCTATGTTTCTGCCCTTACGATATCGCGCAGTTGTCTGAAAGAGACGAAAGAAGATCCCTAAGTTGAGAGTATGCAGACTGTATGCATAGTAACACACGTATAAAATATCCTAGTGAGAATTGTATAAATAATTTCGTCTACAATATACAATCATTAACCTATCTCTAAAACGAATTACATGCTTTGCATCACGATCAAGATACTAACATGTATATTAATTTCTCTTTTTTTTTTTCTCATTTGCCAAAATTTACATAACAAGGCAGCTATAGAGTATTGCTACTTTGAATTTTTCTAATAGAGCATCAACAAGTATTAAGTATTTAAATTGTATTGCTGCACTTTTGAGCTCCTACCAGAGCTATCTGGAAGGTTGTATTGATACATTCGTAACATTATTATCAATCACTTCCTTCGCGTCTATCAGTTGTACTGATATATGAAAGGACTATAGAATATACATATATATATATATAATCGAACTATTGGTACGCAGTAATATTACTTTTTTTCACTATGCATCACTGTACTTCGTCTGGAAATGTTAGTTTTGTACCTTGCCAACGTCTTTTATATGGCTGGCCCCTAATAATTTTATATTATATATTTTCTAGTAATAATTCAATTTCGGTTGTAAATAACTACAAAAATAATCATCTAAAAAATGTTAAAAACAAGTCAGGCCTCTAAAGTTATTCGTGATCTTTCCTAATATCTATTAAGAATGATGAACCACAGTACTATCAGCAGCCACTTCGACAAGCTGCATTGACTTGCTGTTGCCCACCGAAGTCCAGGGTAATTAATATTTGGTGTAAAAATTTCTGCAAATTATATCATTTTGTATACAAAATGAAGCGACTTCATTTAAAAACGCTTAATAAACAGTATGAAATATGGGCTATTCTTCCGAATGGCACTCGCAGCCGATCGACATCAAATTTAGAATTAGGTATACCAAATGTAAAATTTTAACTTCGGGAATTTAATAATTTTCGAGGTTAGATTTCGCTATTTTCCATCTCGACAACAGCATATTTAGGTTGGATCAGAATAGTATATTACAAGCTAACATTTTCTGACCAACAAACTTAAAATTTTTTTACATATATAATTCACAACATTTCTTTATCGATATCTTGGAAACTATTTAATTCTCAAAGCTAAAACTTTATATACGGCATCCATTCCCTCTCCGTCCTCCTTTCTAAATTTCATGTCGACCGTGAGTGCTGTTCGGAGGAATATCCGAAATATAACATACAAAAGGAAAGAAAACATATTTAAGATAACATACCTCATAACAACTGTAATAAATAAAACTAAGACTACCATAGGTGCTGAAGAGACAGGCACTACTCCAGTCCCATAACGGGCTTGACCACAAGCTGGTGGACACACAGGGACTGTAGTTTCTGCGCAAAGAAACAAGGAAAAATCTAGAACATGCTAGCTACTAAACTCAATAAATAAATGCATGGAAAATAATATTGCAAAATGAAATTTTCGTTCTTCAATATGCGAAGACGAGATAACAAAATATACTATACATAAAACTGAAGCAAACATTTATACGTATAAAAGAATAAGAAATACCATTATTACATTATCATGCCAAATTAATAAATACACTTATATTTATCTACTCTACAATTTTATGTATCTAATATTACAATCGAGGAAGTGAATTTTATATATTATGTGTTCCCATTCATTTATGACATATATACGTACCAAACAATTCAACTTTTGTTTCCGCAGTTCCTAATTTATTAGCAGCTCTGCACACATATTCTCCATATTGTCTTTTCTCAATTGTAATCACTCTGATTGTTGTATCTGTATATTCGTCTGCAGTGGCAAAATGTGATATGCTATAATGTTGATTATTGGACAATGCATTATCATCCCTTAACCACATAATAGCTGGCGGAGGATAAGCTTCTACGTGACATTCCAAATCCATATCATATTGTAAGGCTTGGCCAAGACGAGGTCTAGGCGCTGTGATCACAGGTGCAAATTCAACTTCGACGTTGATATTACGTCTAGCTCCACGTCCTACTCCATTTTCAGCAACACAATAATACGTTCCACGATCTTCTTTACGAATTGCGGGAATTTTCAATGTATTGCCACTGTAATGTTTTTATTTTAGAATCAGTTCGTATAAATATCTTTAATAATGAAACACTAATTACCTACCGGTAAATTGATCCACCAGTCGGCAAAATAGCATTATTTTCTCTGCGCCATGAAATTCTAGGTGAGGGAAATCCACCTGCGTAACATTCAAGTTGCACAGGTTGTCCCTCGCTAACAACTACAGATCTGGTTGAATTATCACTAATAATAGGTGGTCTGCGAACTTGCAGTTCAACGTTTGCAGTTACATAATTATTTAAAGATATTAAAACTTTACATTGATAAAATCCGGCATCGGTTTCTTGTATGTCTTTTATCTAAAGTATTCATAAACATTAATGCTTTTGTATATTGACATACACAGGTAGACAATAAGATTATCATATAACATGTTCTTAATTACCTGCAATAAAAAGCTAGATGTAGCTTCATCGTACCTAAGTGCAAATCTAGTGTCTCTTATAATTAAAGAGCTACCATGCGAAAGAGGTAGTTGGTCATTTGCGATATCTTTATTAATTTTTGTCCATATAACTGGATAATCTTGCGCATATTGAACAGAACAACTAAACTCTACAGTTCCCCCGATATCTTTAATTTGTTCTGGAGTAATGTAAGATATCGTTGGTGTACGCTGACCCTTAACTAGTAAACAAAATAATATATTTTTTATGTACAAATATCACATCGCAATATGAATATAATATTTTCAGCATAAAAGCTCGGTATTCCAAGCGAATATAAAATGCAAATTATAATGTGACCGCGTAAGTGTCGCATTACAAATTGAAATGTAAAAATGTTTTATAAACATTATGTGAATTACGCGATATTGGTTGCCGATAGTGCCGCTCTGTCAATGAGCTTCCGATTAAAATGTAAACATATCAAAACATTGAATTTGTATTACGTACAATACAGTACGTGCAAATAAATCACTTTGCTCTTTACCTATTTGTAAAAAGGCGAACACCAAAATTGAATGAACAGTCTTCATTATGACACACCCAATGCTACTCAACACGCCCGAATAATCTTCACTTTTCTTTGTCTGTGTGGTGCAGTGTTATATACACTTATTTCACTGACGATATGTACTTATTAACCTATTTGACGATTCGAACGAAATGGTTGTTGCTGAATGCAACAACCCACATTAACGGTAAATTACCTATCGTCGCCGTTGTTGTCAAACAACGCAAATAGATAGGAATCAAACGGAGGTAATGCTCACAGGCAGTGTGGCCAGATCTGGCATAATTGAGTGCATCGAAATCGACAACAGTGACGACGAACTTCCTTAGCGTCTAACGGAATGGTGGGGATAGCAGGCATACACTACCGCACGAGCCACGTGTACGTGAGCTCGGCGCTTGCGCACAACTTCGGGAAATCGATAAAGAACGTTAGTGTGAGCCTTTCCTTCTTGCTCTTGTAAAAGACAAAACAACTGAAATACGACCTCGCGATAAGTGGCATACGATTCCAAGCCTCGACTGTCCCAGCATTTTTACTTTCCGACCTATGTAAGGTATAAGGAAATTTATAAAGTATCATAATGGAAAAAAAATTTCGAAATTTTTTTTTAGCGGAAATACACGTTTTAGGACCCCCTCATCATATTGTGACTACTACAAAAAAACATTTTTTTTGTTCCTATGCTATTGACATGATTGCATCTAAACGGCTGAACGAATTTCAATGAAACTTAACATTTAAGTTTTATGTTCTCGTTTCAAGGTCTCATTAGATTTTGAGCGTGATCAGCTCCCATATAATGATGATTATACGTTTTTAGTTTTATAATTATTTCGATACATATACATCATTTGTAACAAATTTTTAAAGCGATTTATATAAATCTTAAGAAGGATTAAGATCAAATATACTTTTCTCCTATCTTTTCTAGAAAGGAAAAATTAAACGAAATCTTATGCATTACATACCTACCTAAACCACATTAAAAACGTATTCCACAAATATTTTAGAATAATGTTGTTCAAAGCAGTCTTACTCGTAAAGGGTTAATTAAGGGTTAATTAAAATAAAAAACCACTCTTAGCCAGTACCGTGCACGCTACAGAAATAGATTACTACTGACTTTTCCCACTATGTTTTTTAATAACCGTATCAAATTGTTACACACTGATTTCGTTTAATTTTTCCTGTCTAGGAAAGATAGGAGAAAAGTATATTTGATCTTAATCCTTCTTAAGATTTATATAAATCGCTTTAAAAATTTGTTACAAATGATGTATATGTATCGAAATAATTATAAAACTACAGACGTATAATCATCATTATATGGGAACTGATCACGCTTAAAATATAATGAGACCTTAAAACGAGAACATAAAACTTAAATGTTAAGTTTCATTGAAATTCATTCAGCCGTTTAGACGCAATCATGTCAATAGCATAGGAACAAAAAAAAAATATGTTTTTTTGTAGTAGTCACAATATGATGAGGGGGTCCTAAAACGTGTATTTCCGCTAAAAAAAAATTTCGAAATATTTTTTTCGTTATTGAAATTCACTTAGTCGTTTAATGCATTCATGTTAATAGCATAGGAACAAAAAAAAATATCGTTTTTTTCAATAGTCACAATATGATCAGGGGGTCCTAAAACGTGTATTTCCGCTAAGAAAAAATTTCAAAATTTTTTTTCATTATGATACTTTGTAAATTTCCTTATACCTTACATATAGGTCGGAAAGTAAAAATGTCAGTCGAGACTTGGAATCGTATGCCGATTATCGCGAGGTCGTATTTCAGCTGTTTCTCTTTTACAAGAGCAAGAAGGAAAGGCTCACACTAGCGTTCTTTATCGATTTGCCGAAGTTGTGCGAAGTGCCGAGCTCACGTACACGTGGCTCGTGCGGTAGTGTATGCCTGCTATCCCCACCATTCCGTTAGACGCTAAGGAAGTTCGTCGTCACTGTTGTCGATTTCGATGCACTCAATTATGCCAGATCTGGCCACACTGCTCACAGGTGTCTGTTGACCGAAAATAAATATGGCGAATGACGCTACATCGCTGATCAAATAAAATATTAAAATATAGTACATAGATTATAAACTAAGAAAACTAATCGACTCAACTTATACCGCTGATTTAATTCCATTCTTCTATAGACTTTTATATCCTCGCGAATTATAGTTACGATCGATTGACAGAAATGGTTGTGCAAATGATTCGTCCAGTTCTTTTAAATTTGTAATTTAGTACCTACATGGTATCGCTTGTACAACGGAAAACTTCGTTAAATTATTTTCATGACTTTCCTACAGAAATAAGACTTTGTCTTCGACTGTTTTACATGCAATACTTCATCGATGTAAGTCCTTCGGATATTATACGGAACATCAGATACGAACTTTTATTCTTCTCGCGACAACAAATGATTTAAAATTAATAAGTTAGGGTAGAGATTCCTCGGGAACAGATTACTCGAAAATCAATAATGATGCGAGGATACGTAACAGGTCATAATAAATGAAGTAAAGGCTTATACAATTCTTATCAAATTTATGAATCATTGTAAGGCGATATTATAGAAAATCTGAGATTCGTTTATTTGTAATAGCAATAAATAGTGACATTTATGAGCATTATAAACGTACAAAGGTGAATCGTCAATTTATAGCGAAATGTCAGAGCAGTATATAATTGACAAACATTCTCCATCGATTACTTTAATTAACTATTATTGTACGTGACTTTCAGGTAGGTCTCGTTACGAAGGTTACGTTATTTAAGTTATGGATAATGCCAGGAATCTAGTTTTGTACTATTTCAGGAGAAGCGGGTGTATGCATCTATCCACGTAACTAGTTCAAGACAAGCTCATTGCCATTAGTTTACACGTAATGACATATTGGTAATCGAGAAATTGGAGCGGTTTAAAAATAGGAATTGACCATTCCAGATACGTCGCTACTCGATTATTTCCATTCATAGTATCTACGATATCAAAATAAATAATGCGTATGTTTCTACATGGTGTTCGGCCACCCTTGGGAACAATTTTAATGGGAGATTCTAGAGGCCAAAATAAGACGAAAATCAAAAATACTAATTTGTTGATGGAGGTTTCGTTAAAAAGTTATTAACGTTTAAAATTCCGTACTGAATTTTTTTCTCAAAACTGGGTAGGATTTCGAGGGTAGGTCCATTCACCAAAAATTATTGTAATTGACCCCGGCAACCGAAAATAATTTTTCCAGAACGATTTGAAATTTTTTAATTTTGTCGAAAAATTTCACACCTTCTCGAATTTTTTTCTGGAAAGTGGGTAGGATTTTGGGGGTAGGTCTATTCATTAAAAATTATTGTAATTGATCCCTGCAACCGAAAATAATTTTTCCAGAACGATTTGAAATTTTTTAATTTTGTCGAAATATTTCACACCTTCACGAATTTTTTTCTGGAAAGTGGGTAGGATTTCGAGGATATCTATAATGTCCAAAAATGATCGTAATTGATCCCCGAAACAGAAAATAATTTTTCCAGAACGATTGATATTTTTTTTTCGACGAAAAATTTCAGCACCCTACCCCCGGTCGATTTTTCTTAAACATTTGTTTTTTATTTTTAATAAATTTGTTTGACGCTGTACGTAAATGTTGTCTAATACTTTTTTGAAGATATCCATGAGCTCTACTACCATACTAAATTTTAATGAGATATTTTTACTATTGTAGGAGTTATGGCTGTTTGAAAATTGGACCCTTTTTAAGGGGGTTTTCTCATTTTACGAGGTCAAGGAACAACTTTTCGAATATTTTTGGATTTCTACATATTCTTCGCCAAAATACACGTTATTTGCCGTATGAAACAGTAAAATCCTCCAATCCGTTCAGAAGTTATGACATTTTAAAGATTTGCATGAAATTTCAGTGAAGCACTTCACATTAGATTTTCGATAAAGAATTTTTTTCTCGATAATGCTTAGGAATTCTGGGGTATGTGTAATAACCAAAACTAATTGTAATCGACCCGTGCAAACAAATCTAATTTTTTTAGAACGATTTGAAAAATTTTTTTTCGCTAAAAAATTTCAGTACTCTCCGAATTTTTTTCTCGGAAGTAGGTAGGATTTCAGGGGTAGGTCTATTCACCAAAAATGATTGTAATTGAACCACGCAACCAAAAATAATTTTTTCAGAATGATTTGAAATTTTATAATTTAATTTTTTAATAACTTTCTAACGAAGCCTCAGTCAAGAAATTGATATATTCTTAATTTTTGTCTTATTTTGGCCTCTAGAATTTCCCATTAAAATTTTTCCCAAAGGTGGCTGACCGCCCTGTATATGTACAAGTCTACAAAAGTTTATATACAATTTATTTATTACGATATGTTTATATTGTACATCTTTTTTATTCGTAATTGTTGTGGACTTCGATGAAAAAAGAGGACAAATCGATCGGAAAACAAATTACTTTAATAGGACAAAAATTAAGTTTACTAAAAATGAAGAAATACTGATTAAACTAATTTTAATTATCATTGGATATTACTTTCAGTTGAAATGCATATTCTAATATGCTGGATTTTCGGGTACTAAATATCATAAATAGCCACATAATTTTTTAATAATTATAGTACTGATATCTTTATCGATTGTCTTATATGCATCTAAATTTCGTAATGGCCTTGAATTTACGTCTGGATACATATATAAATTACGTTCGATTTATCAAAAATGTCTCATTTTTATCTAAAGCAATCGTTTATAAAGTATTTGCTTATACTGTTAAGTTTCAACTGAACTTTATTAAACTTTTAATTATACAATAAAAACAAATTATATTTCTGATTGTACATATTATAATATAAGGATAAATTAAACTTAAACATTTTCAATTTTTCTTTTCTGTAACTGCGCGCATTCTTCTTTTTTTAAGCGTCTTCTTAGCGTCTCTTCTTCTTATTTTTACCAGTGTTGTCAACCCATTTTTAATAACTACCAAATTCTAACATATACAATATGAAATAAATCATTTAACATGTTTATAAATTTTTCTTTCTCCATTTTTAATATAGATGCCATTTTATCAATACACACTTGCATATAATTTAATAGAAACTATTTGTCACAGTTTCCAGATCTTCGTATGCAAGTATTCTTTTACGCCCAACGTGGAACAAAGAAATGAATCGAATCTCAAACTACAAACACATTTATTAAAAAACAAGCCACTCGTGGCATTTAGTTTCGCTTTTGCAAATATTATTTTCTACTAAACAGAACAAATGTATAAAGTTGCAGGAAGTTGCACGATCAAAAACTAAGGTCCGACCCTACTCAACACGTTACGTTGGTTTCATCGTCGAGCGCGCGGAACTTATTCACCCCTCTGGTGGTATTTCAAGTTCATGAAAGAGCCTCTCCGTAACATGCTATACGGACACGATACGTAACACATGTTGTGCTCATACAGTAACCATAGCGATTCGAAAACCTCGTTGCTCCGAGTGTTCCACGATTGTGGTGGTCATCCTCACGCACACGCGAGCGGAACTCACACGTGTACACACGTGGAGTCCTGCACGTGACAATGGCGAATATCGTGCGTCCGCGCGTGTGTGTGCGAACGCGTGTAAGGTTGCACGAACAGGAAATCATGAATTGTGTATACGAACGAAAAGGTTGTTACTCTTGAGGCTCACGATGCATCGGTGTTGCGAATGCTCGCGGAAAAACATTCGTGATCGTCTGTTACGCGAACGAACGGAATTACGTACGTGTAGAAGAGCCACGAGTGGTGGTAGGATAACACGAGTACATGCTTGCAATTACACGTGTGTCGATTCGTTCAACGGCGCGTACACATATAGTTGCTATTCGTAAATAACCACGCACGGCCATACGCGAAACATATAAGTATCGTCCTGCCACGAGGAGGTCAGTATGTGTCACAGTATCGCAGTGGAAGCGACCGGTGTCACCTGACGAGCACGAGTACGAACACGTCGTTTGGCGATCGACGATGCTTCGTGAGACTTCGATCACGGCGATAGATCTTCGGATACTTTCACGGAAGAAATTGTCATAAAGAAAACTAATCAGAATCTAAAGTATCTCTTTGAAAAGAGCACGAGAAGGGAACGAGCAACGTCGAGTATTAAACGCCGTCGTCTTTCGGAACAATGCTGAATCGTGATCTATGTCTTGTCAATTAATGCGCGGCTTCGTCGTATTTATAGACATATTTCGCAATGCACGTATACGTACTCATAATAATACCGACGTGGATCGCTTTTCCCGACGGCATCGTACTCTTTGGGTCCACGAAGCATCATCGACGATGACGCGTGGGAGGATCCAGAAAGGATGGGATCGTAAATAGTCAGGAAATACAAGATTCGTTTCTAAACAAGAAGAGAAGTGTTAACGAGGAGTAAAGATATCGGGTAGCTCGTTGACGGTAATGTTTCTAAAGGCCGTATCGCGGATGTCGTGATTGGCCGTCGAAGACATTTCGTTCCGTGCGAGGGATCTATAGATTCGGATCGGACAGGGAAGACCGGGCCGGAATGTCAGCACGTTTTTTCATTGGTCAAGGACACGCCAACCTCCCCAGGTCGAGGAAGGTGGTAACTATAGACCAGCCGGCCAGTATTCCATTCATAATTGAGAAAGAATCCAACCGGCCCGAGGTCGCGACACTCCGCGGCCTGAAACAGTGATCGATCCTCGTTTACTCAGTCGACGGGCGATCACCAGTGATTACCGCGTGTTTTACGTATGCATGCCGATCGAACCGGAATCTAACTTTTCCCGAACACCAGTCGCCGTTTTCCGGTAACGTATTATCGATTGATCGGTAGCCATGATAGAGCCAACAGAGACGACTATCTTCGCACAAGAGCGTGCCGTCACGTGGCATTTTTCAAACTCAAAGTGATCCCGTGATAAACATCGCTTCAAATACGACGATCTCCGGGCATCCTCGCCCGCGCCATTAGAATTGGCTGCCGTCGTCGATGCGCTGTTCCCCCGCAAGAAGTCGTTCGATTTGCGTATAATACGACGAGAAGCGTAATTTAATTAGGATTATTACGTTACACGAGTGTATCGTTGGATACACGTTATTATCACGGATATTATTGGACTATACTCCGTTCTTCGTTAAAAGGGAGACCACGGTGCTTCATTGCCGTATCTGATCTCAGAATGACAGCATCGATCAGGATCGTCGTGGAGTTTGAATTTTCTCTGAGCGTCAACGGCGACAGACCATTGTTCTCGACATTATCTATTAATTCTCGTTGAACACGATGGATAACAGTGAACTTCGAGTGGAAAATGAGACGCAGGTACTTTCGACTTTTTATTTTTTAGCTTCAAATTGTACGTAGTAAATCATAGTAAAATTTCATTTACAAATTGTTTCATATTTGTATGCTCACATTTAAGGAAGTACTCTACTGTAAATGTTTCTCAAAATCCATCTTTTTTGTTACAAATTTTTTTTCAGACATATATGTGCTTTTTGTATCTAAATTCCTTGTTTGTTTCATATTTTTTTTTACGCTTTGAACGTATTTTTTTTAACTGATTTTCATGATATCTGAAAATTTATTTGACCGATTGGTACAAAATTTGATACTATAGCTCGTACTAGGCTCAAAATTTATTATGTTGTGTCTTTTATATTTGTTTAGTTCGCGAAAATGATAGTCAAAATGTTGTCGTTCATTTAATTATCGACTTCTCTTTCATTTTAGCATTCTGATTGAAAATCTGTTTTCATTTTTCATTTCAAATATGTAGAACATAACATTTTATTTTTACTATGTTCTAGAACGTGCAGATACTTTATAATACTTTAAAATAAATATCAATAAATATGTATGAGAAATTTCAACAAAAGAGTTGTTTTCTGCAAAAAATTATAAAAAAGACCTAAAAATACGCGCTTTACAGTACAATATTCCCTTAGGCCATTATAAACCATTACTCCATGAATTTTATATCGATAAAATTCCGTGTTTTCTATGAAAATTATCAAATTATTGTAATGCGAAAGGATAACAACATTACACCACCACATTCACAATTTACATGTATCTAAGAATAAAAATTATATTTTTCGTGTTATTATTTTCATATACAGTTTTACTATTTTAACGTAACGATATGCAATCGCGTTCAATTATAGCGTATACATAAAAAAAACGATGAATATTTTAAAGCTTGCATTGACCCTAGTTTAGTTTTATTTAATCGATGGATCTAGCCGGTACAACTATCCAAGTTATAAATCTAAACAGGCCACGGTACATCTAGATTATGCATGTAATTATAAGCTGCGGTTCAAAAACGAAACATACGTCGCTGAATTATCCAGCAATTATAAAACATTTACGCGATGACGTCCGAACTAAAAGGTTGTACGGTTGTATCGTTGTTCCGATCAATTTCAATAAAATATGTGCACGATAGAAAAGCGTAGATCATTTCTGTTTGCAAACAAATTCGTAAATAGAATTGACTTTCTTCTTACTGTTCGTTAGGGTGGTTTGTACACGACGTGCAAGACCTTATTGTCTCTTTTTGCAATAAAATTATTTATTCTTACACTCACTAATTCCATTTCAAACTTATTTCATCCCTAATTTATCTTTATGTTAATTTCAACACATGTTTATTTCAGTATTGAATTATTTCTACATTACCTAATGGCTGCACTCATTTTTTCAAGAGCTACGTTATTCTTACACTAAGTTAATCCTAATCTAATTCTTCTTCCTCCTTGCTTTCATCTATTTCCACCTCTGTCTCCCGTTACATCCCCTAATTCTGTCTAGGCCACTCCCACCTTCGTTAATCGTCTAAATCCTGATTAGGGTGGCTCTTAGTTATTGAGTGTGAAAATTTAGTTTTGTGGAATTTTTAGTACTTACCTCCCAGCATAAATTTACACAATGTGGTTCGATTAAAATATTACAAGAATCCAACGAAGATATCTATATAATTTCTTTTATAATAGTCCAAAGGGGCTAATTTTAGACACGCAACAAATTCTTTTGAGGCAACTGTTAGAAAAAGAGAGAACTATATTATTTTAATGGAAAGTGATATCAGTCTTTTATTATTTGAATATTTTTTATTAAGCTGAACCAAAATTTGAATCATTTTTTTAAGAAGCTAAAAAAATTCAGAAAACAAATTTCAATCGCCAATATTTTCGGAATATTTTGATATGTACTGAATCTGTCACGAGGTCACTGTGCATACATACATGGCACTGGTGGATTTCGATTGGTGGAATGACATTGGAAACCTCGCATTGTATCAATTGGAGTCACAAATGCCATTCCATCAAATCGGTGTATACGTATGACCAGGTAGCCTCCTGGAAAATAATGATAAAAACTATTGTAATCGAATGTACCCTTCGTCCAAATGGCCACTGAAAAATTATTTTCATTAAACGCAAGAAAAACTGACGCTAGAAAGGTAGACTTTGATACCACTTGGAACAGTGATGGATCCACATTTATGTAATTTTAAATATTAAAATTCTGAGACCCTGACTTTAAATTTAACAAGAAATACTTTTTTGTAATTGAAAACCATGAATAGTAGTACTGATTTAGAGGGAGGAGCAAAAACCCTAGAACTCATATGTACCCATAACTTCTTCTCTGTACTGCGCACCAGAACAGTGAATAGCATGCTGGAATAAATATAATAAATATCATTTATTTTACAGAACAGTTACAGTAGACGACAAAGTTTGTTATCTGTTACTAATGCAAGCACCGGTAAACCAAGTCCAAGATGCTCATTAACGAACGAAAATGTACCACCGAATGTGCCATCAGAGGCCTCAACGCCACAAAGGACGAAGTCCTCGGCAGGATCGAGTTCGTCGGACGTGAACAAAAGCAAACAGTTAGTTGGAAATAACAAAGAAATGTTGTATGAAAAGGATAAAAATGGCATTCAACCTGGATCGCCGAAAGGCAATAGGACATTATCTAGGTCCAGCGTTTATCCCTCTGGAACGAATTTGACTGTTCGAGATGCATTTGGTGGGTTTCAAATGGTGGGATTTACACGTTTCAGGAAATATACAGGGTGTTAAAAATTTTAATTGGAGACTCCAGAGGCCAAAATAAGACGAAAATCAAGAATACTAATTTTTTGAAGCTTCGTTAAAAAGTTATTAACGTTCAAAGTGGAGCTCGTACTGAATTTTTTTCTCGAAAGTGGGTAGGATTTCGGGGGTAGGTCTATTCACCAAAAAATATTGTAATTTACCCCTGCAACTGAAAATAATTTTTTCAGAATGATTTGAAATTTTTTTTTCGCCGAAAAAATTCAGCACCTGTCGATTTTTCTTAAACGTTCGTTTTTTATTTTTAATAAATTTGTTTGACGTTGTACGGAAATGTTGTCTAATATTTTTTTGTAGGTACCCATGAGCTCTACTTCCATACTAAATTTCAATGCGATACCCTTACTATTATCGGAGTTATGGCCGTTTGAAAATTGGACCAGTTTTAGGGGTTTTTTTTCTCACTTTATGGTGGCAAAAAACAACTTTTTCAATATTGTTAGTATTTCTACATATTCTTCACTAAAATACGGGTTGTTTGCATTTTGAAAAATTAAAATCGTCCAATCCGTTCAGGAGTTATGACATTTTAAAGATTCATATGAAATCTCAGGGAAGCATTTCTGGCTTAATATTAGATTTTTTTTTCTCGAAAGTGCGTAGAATTTCGGGGTATGTCTATTCACCAAAAATGCTTGTAATTGACCCCTTTGATTTAATATAATTTTTTTAGCATGATTTGAAATTTTTCAATTTCGTTTAAAAATTTCATTACCTACTCGAATTTTTTTCATGAAAGTGGGTAGGATTTCAGAGGTATGTCTATTCACCAAAAATGCTTGTAATTGACCCCTGTGACTAAATATAATTTTTTTAGTATGATTTGAAATTTTTCAATTTCGTTTAAAAATTTTATTACCTACTCGAATTTTTTTCTCGAAAGTGGGTTGGAATTCAGGGGGTATGTCTATTCACCAAAAATGCTTGTAATTGACCCCTTTGATTTAATATAATTTTTTTAGCATGATTTGAAATTTTTCAATTTCGTTTAAAAATTTCATTACCTACTCGAATTTTTTTCATGAAAGTGGGTAGGATTTCAGGGGTATGTCTATTCATCAAAAATGCTTGCAATTGACCTGTGTGACTAAAAATAATTTTTTCAGAATGATTTAAAAATTTTTAATAACTTTTTATCGAAGCCTCAGTCAAAAAATTAAAATTAAAATTTTTCTCAGGAGTGGCCAAAAATCCTGTATATTACTATACCGACTATTATACCTACACATCATTTTCATTCAGTGATTCGTCAAGCAAAAATAAAATAACAATCAAAATTAATAAAATTTCGTTTGAGATTTTGTGTCCGAATTATTAATTGCTCACAATATTAGAAGAAACTAAGAGTTCTTTTATTTTATTTTTTATAAGGAAAGATTTGAAAATATCCATCTATTCTTCAGTCTTCACAAAAACAAAAGCATAAATTAAAATAATTAAATAAAAAGAACCAAATGTCTGTGAATACGTTTCTGATTAGAGTCAACTTCAATCTGACAAAAAAAATAAAAAACCATATTATGTGGGAACGTAACACATGATCTAAAAACTAATTTGCTCTGAAAATATAATTGTAAAAACATTTATGGTAGTAGTGCACGTAGAACATGTGCATTTTTCTTAGAATAAATGAAATTCAATATTAGGATTTAATTTGAAAAACAATTTGCTTTTGCAATTTTATATATGTGTATAAAATCAAATAAGACTTGAAAATAGTTTTTCCGTAAAAAAATACCTTATTTGGAGCCTACAACGTAATTTTATCGTTCTTAATTTTCGTCTTAATTTGACCTGCATAAACTCCTCTAAAATATTTACAACTAATTGGTAACCACCTTTTATAAGCAATTCCATTATCTTCTCTGTCCTTTCTTTTTTATCCTTCATATCGCTGACCACTCCAATTCATATGCAAATTAAGTGATGCAAATGAGCCACTGATGAAATTGAATGATATAATGGAGTTTGATGGAAATTATTTAGATTTGGAGGCGTTATATTTTCGCGGAATCTAATTTTTCTTATCATCTTATCTGTATAAAAGTAACAAGGATTTAAAATTACCTTATTTCAACACATCACCGTTATTATACTTCAATCAATTTTCCATAATTTTCAAAAACACTGATACTTAAAATGTGACATACTGTCTAACTGTCTTGTAAGTAAAAAGAAAATAGGAAAAATTCGATTTTCCAAATTTTCTATTCATCGTCGCTCTCATTTTCAAAAACTTATTCGTTGCTTCGTTATTTATGTTTCCGTGTAATTATTTATAGTTTAAGAAATATTTTTCGGTACGCGTATGGAGCATAAATTAATTAAATATTTGAATGATAGGTACGTATAAATATATGGTCGCGTATTCATGATAATGTCATTGGTAATGGTAGAAGTAGGCCTAAGTCAATAAACTACGATCAATATGCATATGAATGTCAGTGTGTCACGAACTATACTTATCAACAATGCATGTACAACTTTAGCGTGGTCAGAAAGGCTACAGTTTGTCGAACCATTGTCAGACAAATACGTGTCTTCTATTATTACCCCCTTTCTTTCTAACTTACAAAGTATAACTTTCCTTTCGACAGTAATGATACCCTTCCTACCGTAACTTCGCTTTAAAAACATCAAGATGGAGTATATTTCTTCGTGCATTCTTTTAAAGAATCGTTTCGAGAAGTGTTACGTATAGTGTTTCCCATCCACGTAATGATTTCAGTTCGACAATATTGGATTGTAAGAAATTTTTATGCAACAGGTGCGCAACTACGTATTTGCAGATACAGTGTTGAATGAAGTGCATTATAATACAAATTATTCCTATATGAATGTATACACTCATTTATCTCTTTCATTATTAAAAAGATAGAGAAGCATTTATGCATAAATTACGTGATGTCTGAACGGTGGACAAGCGAATTAGAATTTGTGTTCCAGTTATTAATCGTGCAGATTCCATAGGAAACAAAAGTTAGACATTTATTAAATTCCTCGTCACATTTTTATGAAATATTGTTATAAACATCGACGGTAAATTTTGCAGTCGTAGATTAGATATTTCTATGGGCATTGTTCGATGGATCATCGTATAGTGTTTTACGATACATTAGTTCTCCGATCCACTCTGTTCTGTGAAATGACAAATGAGAACTCTAAATTGGAAGGGGTAGCTAATTTATCATCGATATTTACGACAATATTTCAAAGGTGGTTGGTAAAAAACGTTACCAACTTGTTGGAGATAATAATTGCTGGAGAAATAATTCCAAGTAATTAATTGTTTCGCAGGTCCAAAGCTTACGGCCCCGACTACACCAGATGATACTCCGCCATTGTTAGATACTCCAATATTCCCGGACGACATACCGAGGGATGCTTTGTTGCAGAAAGATGCATCCGCTGAATCGGAAATAGATCCTGAAACTCTTTATTTTCGGTAATAATTAAAGAATTCCCGATCATTTCTTACGATTCTTCGATTTCGTTGTACCATACGAACTTCCTTCAATCATATATCAAATTAATCAATTTTTAACCACCAATGAGTTACAAATATTCAAACATTTTTGTTTTATTAGCAAAGTAAAATAAATTCAGTCTCACCTGTTGCGTTCTAATATTTTGTGTGTGTTTCCTAAAACAGTGATTTTAAGGAAAACCTAGAATCTGGACTATGAAATGTAATAGCCCTACCTTTTTACGTAGTCCTTTATCTAATACACTAACATAAATTATCATTTTAAACTACGACATAATATATTCATTCGAAGTCGATGTTTTTTCACAAAATATAAAGATCCTTTGCCTAAGGAACAATTCCACACTTTTCCATTGGTGTTTAAAATAAAAAAACAATAAACCAATTATAGTATTTGATATTCCTGCTATTTTTAAAAATTAAAATATTCGTTGTTTTAAACGATAAAATGGAATAAATTACTCGATATAGTCGTTACTTCGAGCAACGAAGTTATTTTAAATAATTGTTTTTTATTTTCATTTCAAATGAAATTAACTTGGGCCTGACTGACGATAATGAAATTTATTGTCTTCACTTTGTAGGGATGGTCGTAGACGTATCGACATGGTGTTGGTCTACCAAGAGGACACCAAGGGTGTGATGACTGAGATAGAAGCGCGTCGAAAAGAACAGAGACGCGTGTTCCAACAAAATCTGTTGAAAGAGGGTTTGCAATTAGAGCTGGAACCTAAGGAGAACTCGTACGACGGGAATACTTATTTCTTGAAGTTGCACATACCGTGGAAGATCAAGATCCAGTATGCCGAAGTGATGAACCTAAAGCTGCCCACCAAAAGATTCATCACCATTTCTGTCAAGGCATGGGTAGGCCAATTTTAATGCGGATAAAACGAAACAAAAAGAGGGGTGACTTACGAAATTCATCAAATACTTCCAATTGTTACATTAATACAAAACATGTCGAGAAGAATACATATTAGAAAAATAATGAAACTTATGGAAAGTTAGACTTGAAGAAGAATTTTAATAATTTCTATTCTTTTTGGCATACTTTCCACAAGCTTTTCACATTGTTCGAGACTTATTTCGTTGCATTTATTCGTTACATTTTCTTATAATAACGATAAATTTGCACTGGTATTATTAACGCCTTAGTTTGAAGATTGTGAGGACCAATCTAAAACATTAAACTCTTAATGTAGTATTTTGCATAAACCCTTGGTGCTGAAACGTGTTATTACTTAATTCTGTAATTATTGCATAGTGAAAAATTTGATCAATTTTATGAGTACAGATATTTGCATTATAAAAAAATGATTTATAGTTTTGTGGTTTGTAGTTGGTGGCCAATTTTCTTTTGAATTATTGTTCACAAGATTATTTAATTATCAATAAATAACACACATGTATGTAAATAATTTAAAAGAAAATTGGCCACCAACCACGAACCATTTTTTCGTAATGCAAATATCTGAACTCACAAAATTAACAATTAACTAATAATAGGTTTCTGTATCAAGGGTAGATGTAAACGAACAAACGAGTTTACTTTGTTGTTAAAAAAAAACTTGAAACGACCATGTAAGCAATTTCGTGACTCACCGTGAACAATGACAAGAATTGGAAGTGATTTACCGTGCAATTTGTGTTGTTAGCAAGGTAACGAGGACGCGAAAGAGAGGCCGAAGCTTTGGGAAAAATGGATAAGGTGGATAAAGTGGGTAAGGAAGATCCATACTTGGGACACCCAAAAATACCCTGTAGAGCCTACTTTCTACGGTAGCATCGATTCTAGCGACCGGGAGGAAAGGTAACATTTACGTATTCATACGCAGCGTGTTTCTGAAACAATAAGTTCCTTGAAACTTTCACGGCCTGGGTTCTCGAAACTATTTTCGAACACAACCGTGACATGAAAATAAAATTGTTACCAAGAATTTGTAACTAATGCAATTCCAATACAGTTTAATATAAATAAGTTCGATAGTAAGTATAAACATATTCTATCTCTAAGAATTCTACTATAATTGATTGAATGTAATTCTGTACTTGAGCATTTTAGGTCACATGCACCTTGTTGGTTATTAGTGACCACAATTGGGTTACCTAGTGGAACTGATCATATTTAGAGCAATTGGTATACTTTAATGTCTTTTAATAAGTTTAAAACTTTTTTGCATGAGTCTATTTCTCGTAGGATCGTTAGTGAATTTTGTAGCTTATGTTGAATCCTCGTTAGTAATTAAAAAAAGATGTTTAATGCAATCGAACTTATAATTTATGTTACAACCCAATGAATGAAATAAAAATAATATTGTTTTAATAAGGATTTTAAAATTAAACAACTTGTAATAGGAAACAAGTGTAAAGAAATAATTTGAAATGTTTAGGAAGAAAAAGAGTAAATAAATCACAATTTACTTGTGAAATAAAGTCTTTTTATCATGTTATTGAGAAAGAGAGGCATATTTAATTTGTCACAAATATAGTAAATAATGATTATGACGAAGAAATTTTGTCTCCTGTACTCTTTATAATCGAGTAATGCTGTAATTAATTTATAAAATATAACAATACACAAGACATTGATATAATTTTTACAACTGAGCAGCAATAGAAGAATTAATGCAAAGACAAGTAATTTTTCTGTACAAAGAATAATTGTGTCAATCTCTTCGGTAGTATTTTAAAAAATCAGTGAAGCTAACAAAACGCCTTGTTTAAAGTATACTTTTGGTAATTCTTTCTGTGTTTAATAAAAATTTAAATTCCTATGTTTCGAACAATTTTAATTTTCGATAAGAATGTCTATATATTTATTATTTAAAATTACTCAGATGAATGTGTGGAAATTTTTTGGTTATTGAAAAATTCAAATTCCTGTGTTTCGTAACAATTTTAATTTTCGATCAGAATTTCTGTATATTTATTATTTTAAATTACCCAGGTGTTTGAAGGGGACTAAAAATATGGAATAAAATTTTGGAATTTGAAAATTTGTGTGACCTCGGATTAAAAACAGTTTTTTTGACATGTCTGTTTAAAATGCACTGTTTCTACTTGTGTCTATCTCCAAATTAGTACCAAATTAATTTTCAAAGTCAACTTCGTCTTTAAAAAGGGAAACATCATTTTATTTTATCTATTTATTCGCAACATTATACATTCGTATAATCTATATCGATATTTTTGTATTTACATGTCTGTTACTATATTTTTTTATTATCTTAATATTTTGTATTCTGTTTTAGTTGTATGAATTTATAAAAAAGAGTTTTAGTCCGTTTTTCAAGCATTGAAATATAATTATCTTCAAAAAATACAAATTCTCCCTTCTTTGTGTTTCTGTTTTACATTCGTCTATCCAAAACTTCATGATCGATTTTTGACGATAAATTCATAAATTAGTAATCAATTTGCGTTTTTTTTTGTAGATTCGTAGTGAAAGACAGGGACACGGCTTACACGCCTGCTCAAAGATCACTGATTGTAATGCAAATATTGCTGAGGGCGAGGTACGACGAGACTCACGAAAAAGCTGGTATCCGTAGACTTTTGGCGGATGGCACTTTCCTCGATTGCTTTTCTCTGCACGAGGGGCCTTATAATAAACCGGTGCTCAACGGAGAAATCCTCGATAGGCATCTATTATATTTAATATGGGCCAGACCCTCGCAGTGGTAATTCTGCACACAATTTTATGTCACATCACATCAAAGAAACTAGAAATTTTTGTTAAATTATTAACGAAACTTCTATATCCAATGTTCTATTTCTATTTCTTCTTCACTATTATTAGACTGAAGATCTTCACGCAAATTCGTGTTATTATTGATAAAATTAATGAAATAGGAGCTTTGTAGAGGGTAGTCTCAACCCCTAAATATAACAATTCGTATCTTGCTTGAAATGTTTCATATCGTTCTGTATATCAAGTGCATGTAGTTTTTTGAAAACTAAACTTTAATTAATTTCAACCCCTAAATATAAATAAATATAAATTCGTATCTTGTTTGAAATATTTCATATAGTTTTGTATATCAAGTGCATTCTGTAGTTTCTTGAAAATGAATCTTTAATTAATTTCAACCCCTAAATATAACAATTCGTATCTTGCTTGAAATATATCTTATAGTTTTGTATACCAAGTGTATTCTGTAGTTTTTTAAAAATGAATCTTTAATTAATTTCAACCCCTAAATATAACAATTCGTATCTTGCTTGAAATATTTCATATCGTTCTGTATATCAAGTGCATTCTGTAGTGTTTTGAAAATGAATCTTTAATTAATTTCAACCCCTAAATATAACAATTCGTATCTTGCTTGAAATATTTCATATCGTTCTGTATATCAAGTGCATTCTGTAGTGTTTTGAAAATGAATCTTTAATTAATTTCAACCCCTAAATATAACAATTCGTATCTTGCTTGAAATATATCTTATAGTTTTGTATACCAAGTGCATTCTGTAGTTTTTTAAAAATGAATCTTTAATTAATTTCAACCCCTAAATATAACAATTCGTATCTTGCTTGAAATATTTCATATCGTTCTGTATATCAAGTGCATTCTGTAGTGTTTTGAAAATGAATCTTTAATTAATTTCAACCCCTAAATATAACAATTCGTATCTTGCTTGAAATATATCTTATAGTTTTGTATACCAAGTGCATTCTGTAGTTTTTTAAAAATGAATCTTTAATTAATTTCAACCCCTAAATATAACAATTCGTATCTTGCTTGAAATATTTCATATAGTTTTGTATACCAAGTGCATTCTGTAGTTTCTTGAAAATTAAACTTTAATTAATTTCAACCCCCCAATATAACAATTCGTATCTTGCTTGAAATATTTCATACAGTTTTGTATACCAAGTGCATGTAGTTTTTTGAAAATTAAAATTTTTCGTGAATGTATAAACATCCACGGTCTAATTATTACATGTACATATAAGTATTTTATTATTCGATTTGTTAGTTCTATGCGAATACGTAAGATGAAAATTTAGTGCTGTACTTTTAGGTACAAGAAGCAACCACTTTGGTTAATCCGACGATACTTCGGGGAGAAAGTGGCACTTTATTTCGCATGGCTGGGCTTTTACACGAAATGCTTGTATCTGCCAGCGATTGTCGGGCTTTTATGCTTCATGTATGGGGTTGGAAGCATGGAGGGGGCTGACAACATACCTAGCAAAGAAATATGCGATTCAAATATAGCGGGTGATTTTATTTCACAATTTAACTCGTAATATTTAATCTTATATTTAGTAATAGTTATTTAGATACAGATACCTAAATACCTGATACCTAAATGTAACTTTAATTTCTTTGATTTATGCTTTCAGGAAATATTACGTTATGCCCCCTCTGCGATAAAGCGTGCAGCTACCAAAGACTGGGCGAATCTTGCATTTTTTCTAAGTTAACTTATTTATTCGATAATCCCGCTACCGTCTTCTTCGCCCTTTTCATGTCATTTTGGGGTAAAGTATGCAAAACACATGACTTGCCTTACAAATGGTTACATATATTCTTAATAATACTGGTATTTATTTTATATAGCTACAACGTTCCTCGAACTGTGGAAACGGCGACAGGCTGTATTAATATGGGAATGGGACCTTCAAAATGTCGAAAGCGACGAGGAGCCAAGGCCCGAGTTTGAGACTACGGTGAAAACGTTTCGAATAAACCCTGTGACCAGAGAAAGAGAACCTTATTTACCTGCGTGGTCCAAAGTGTTACGTCTCTGCGCTACTGGCTCTATAGTATTTTTCATGGTAAGAAAAACATTCACCTACTTCAAAGGCCGCGAATAACTCTTATTCAATCGCAAGTAGCAAATACTACAAATTACGTACATATAAAACACGCGGATAGATCGATTAGATTTTCGGTTTGCCTGACTCTTTCATAGATAGGCTGCGGATGTTTATGCGTTTATGGGAAATTTTAATTTACATAAAACTACAGAATGCACTTAATATGTACAAATATAAGAAATACTTAAAGCAAGATACGAATTGATATATTTAGGGGTTGAGACAACCCTCTGCAAAGCTCCTATTTCATTAATTCTATTAATAAAAACACGAATTTGCGTGAAGATCCGCAGTCTAATAAAAATTGTATATTGTAATATATAAAAATGCAAAAATATAAGAAATACTTAAAGTGAGATATGAATTATTGTATTTAAGGGTGGAGACAAAGCTACCATTTCGTTAATTCTATTAATACAAGTATGAATTTGCATTAAGATCCGCAGTCTACTCTTCAGTAATTACATTAATAATTAAATAAATTCAAAGGGTTCTGGGACAGGTGAATAAATAATGTTTCTGTTTAGATATGCGTAGTTTTGGGCGCTGTACTGGGAACCATCATTTATCGTATATCGCTAGTAGCCGTGTTCTATGGCGGTGGTGGATCGTTCCTGAAGAAACACGCGAAGATTTTCACCTCCGTGACCGCTGCTCTTGTCAACTTGGTGATCATCATGATACTAACGAGAGTGTATCATCGCCTAGCGCGGTGGATGGTCAACATGGAGAATCCAAGAACTCAAACCGAATACGAGTCCAGTTTTACCTTCAAGATATTTCTGTTCGAATTCGTCAACTTTTACTCGTCTCTGATTTATATTGCTTTCTTTAAGGTTTGTGACAGAGTTCACCGATTAAAGTTAGTTACGATTATTTATTCATGCGTAGGATTATCGTTTCTTAATTAGTCGCGTAAAATCTCAGGTGATATCTAATAAAATTGCTAACTTGTTAAAGCGTTAACAAAATGGATTATTTAGACTGCTTCTTTATTTCTAGAACATAAATGAACATATACAGGGTGTTCAACCACCCCTGGGAAAAATTTTAATGGGAGTTTTTAGAGGCCAAAATAAGACGAAAATCAAGGATACTAATTTGTTGATTAAGGCTTTGTTAAGAAACATTTCCGGCCACACAATATATTTTCGGTAAAGAATTTTTTTCTCGAAAATACGTAGGATTTCGGGGGTATGTGTGTTCGCCAAAAATCATTGTAATTGACCCCCGCAATCAAAAATAATTTTTCCAGAACGGTTTGAAATTTTTCAATTTCGCCGAGAAATTTGTTCCCCTTCCTGAATTTTTTTCTCGAAAGTACGTAGGATTTCGAGGGTATATCCATTCACCAGAAATGATTGTAATTGACCCCTGCAACCGCAAATAATTTTTTTAGATCGATTTGAAAAACTTTTTTTTCGCCGAAATTTTCAGCACCTATTTGAATTTTTTTCTAGAAAATGGATAGGATTCCGGGGATATGTCTCTTCACCAGAAAAAATTGTAATTGATTCCCCTAACTAAAAATAATTTTTTTAGAACGATTTGAAATTTTTCAATCTTTCCGAAAAATTTCAGCGCCTACTCGAATTTTTTTCTCGAAAGTGGGTAGGTTTTAGGGGTATATTTATTCTCCAAAAATGTTTGTAATTCACCCCTGTATCTAAATATAATTTTTTTAGTATGATTTGACATTTTTTTAATTTCGTTTAAAAATTTCAGTACCTACTCGAATTTTTTTCTCCAAAATGCGCAAGATTTCAGGGGTATATCTATTCATCAAAATTGATTGTAATTGAGCCCCGCAAGCAAAAATAATTTTTTCAGAATAATTTGAAATTTTTTAATATCTTTCTAATGAAGCCTCAGTCAACAAATTGATATTCTTGATTTTCGTCTTATTTTGGCCCCTAGAATCTCCCATTGCAGTTTTTCCCAGGGATGACCAAACACCTTGCATGTTAAATTGTAATTATTTGAGACATTGATTTGTAGGGGAGATTCTTCGTTCATCCGGGGGATGCGGAGGCAAGGTCTTCCGAGTTTGTACGCATAAAAACGGACGTGTGCGATCCAGCCGGTTGTCTGTCGGAGGTTTGCATACAGCTTGCTATTATAATGGTGGGCAAACAGTGCTTCAACAATTTTGTCGAAATACTGTCACCGAAATTGTGGAACTGGTGGCGCAAAAGAAATCACGTCGCCGCCACGAAGGACCACGCCAGACCTTACACCTGCTGGGAAAAGGATTACCAGCTTCAGGATCCCGGTAGACTCGCTCTGTTCGACGAGTACCTGGAAATGAGTACGTGCAATTTATTTCAGCTCTGACTTTTACGCAGAGTGACTCGTTTCGATCCATAAATGAATATTTCGCGTTTAAAAAATATTTATATAAAGATTGCTTAGTCATGTGGAACGTGAACTGTGTTTTTAATTTTACGAGTTAAGTTCATTTACATGTTGGAATCAGTCGTCCTGCGTACGTCGAGTATATGATGTGCATGCAGTGCCATGAAAATTCGAAAACTGAACATTAAAATTCAATTAAATCCCCCTTTCTTTTACGCAGTATTGCAATATGGATTTGTGACGTTGTTCGTCGCTGCGTTTCCATTAGCGCCGCTGTTCGCGTTGTTAAATAATATAGCGGAGATACGCTTGGACGCGTATAAAATGGTGAAAGAGGCGAGAAGACCATTAGCGGAGAGGGTGGAAGACATCGGTGCCTGGTACGGCATACTTAGGGGAGTAACTTACGTCGCGGTAGTATCAAATGTACGTAATAATGAAGCTTTAAATGTGCAACGAGACGAGAATGTTATTAAAACATAGGACTAGACTAAATAGATGAATTTTAACTGCTAGCATTAAAATCGATAGGTCACTTTGAATCTTTAAAAAATAGTTTATCTTGAAAGAAATTATTTGGCGGTCGAAACTCTATCTAAGACCCACTCTTATCGGTTCTAAAACAATTTTAATTATTATTTTTGCATTCTCGTACTGCAAAAACAATAATTAAAAATCACTTTTAAAAATATATCAATTTTTCCAAAATTTGGCATCAGTATTAAATCAGTAGACTTAATATGCAAAAATATAAGAAATACTTAAAGTAAGATATGAATTCTCAGGTATATTTAGGGGTTGAGACAACCCTCTAGAAATCTCTCATTTCATTAATTCCATTAATAAAAATATGAATTTGCATAAAGATCCGCAGTTTATACACATAGAATACATTTATTTTCTTGAAAGTATAATTTTTCATGAACTTGTCCTGAAATTTTGTGAATACGTCTAATATTTTGTCAACTATACAAAATTTTATCAACCTTTTGTCAAAAGAGCTTCACTTCACTCTGATAGGGGCATTGAAACGAAGGTGACGAAGGCAATAAAGATATTTAAAGAAAGCCGCCACGTCTCCAGTTACACTTCGCTTCACTGGTTCAAGGGGAATCCCCCTAGTGATGGGGATAAGAATGTATCATTTACGGAACAGCTTTTAACCCCTTAACGCTCATATTTTTCGGGTTAACCAACAATGATCAGTTTTCTATATTGGATTTGTTTCTAAAAATACGGTTTTTGTTAATTACAATGTAGTATCTAACGTATAATTTGAAGGAAAACAAATATTGTTCTTCAAAGCAGTCAGACTCGGGCATGAACGTTAAGGGGTTAAGGACATCGAGATTTCACTGCATAGAATACATTTATTTTCTTGATAGTATGTTTCATGAACTGGTCCTGAAATTTTGTAAATACATCTAATATTTTGTCAACTATAAAAAATTTGATCAACCTTTTATCAAAAGAGCTTCGCGTAGTCTAGGTCCCTATAGCGAATAAATTATCGAGCACGATGGATTAACACGCGACGACCACGATCATGTTGCGGATGATAAATATATTCTGTGACAGGCGTTCGTTATTGCTTATACGTCGGATTTCATTCCGCGAAGCGTCTACGCTATCGTCTACTCTCCAACGAACGATTTGGTCGGTTACATCGACAGTTCTTTGTCGGAATTCAACACATCGGATTATCAGGATACCATGAAGAGCGATATTGACAAAAAACAGCCGGGAACATGCCAATACAGGGGATACAGAAACGGGCCCGACCATCCGACCGATCCGTACGGACTCAGCCCGCAATATTGGCACGTCTTCGCGGCTCGTTTAGCATTTGTCGTCGTTTTCGAGCATATCGTGAGTTTTATAAACTTTTAGAGAAATCAAAATCTGTCTGTGCCATTTTCAATTTTTGTTTATTACTATATTTAGTCTCGATGATCGGAAAGTTAAGAAAAACTTAAACTTAACTGTTCCGTCCCTAGAAATTAATTTGTTTGTAATTTTTTACTTTTATATTGTTCATACATTTTTTAACACGTTGTCATGGTGGTCACCAGTGACCGACATTGCGACACAGACTTTTATTATTTAATTTCATTGAGAATACTGTAAAATAATAACTACATCAATGAAACATTAACACGTTGTTATGGTGGTCACTGGTGACCGGCGCCTCAAACTTACAACGTGTTTTCAGAACGCTTACAATAAATTAATCTTAATAATTGTAAATTTTTTGATAATGTCATTGACATTAGAAATATTACAAAATAACAAAAACTTCATTAAACTGTAGAATATTTCTATTCGTACTATTGTAATTTAAAAAAATATCGAGGATATCCCTAGACAAGGAAAACTAGTGTAACAGTCAACGTGTTAAACATTTCTAATATTGGTATAATAATTTGAACAAAGTTGAAATAAAATACTCTATTTCATGATCATAATTGTTAAACTAAAGTATTTTATTTCCAGCACATTTACTTCTTTTTCAATATTAGAAATGTTTAACACGTTGACTTCTACACCAGTTTTCCTCGTCTAGGGATATCCTCGATATTTTTTTAACACGTTGACTGCTACACCAGTTTTCCTCGTCTAGGGATATCCTCGATATTTTTTTAACACGTTGACTGCTACACCAGTATTCCTTGCCTAGGGATATCCTCGATATTTTTTTAACACGTTGACTGCTACACCAGTTTTCCTTGCCTAGGGATATCCTCGATATTTTTTTAAATTACATTTTTTGATAATTTAAACTATAAAATAAAGTATTTTATTTTGATAACCCAAAGCCTGAAATAAAATTAAACTGCAAATTAAAAATTAAGATCGACGAAAAAATGAAAATAAAGATAATGAAACTGTGCTATTAATTTTTTTGTTACTAATTAGGTTTTCGCTCTGACTGGAATAATGAGTTACGTGATACCAGCTGTTCCTCATTCACTGTCGACTCAACTGCAACGGGAACGATTGCTCGCTCAGGAGGCCAAATACGAGAAGGGTTTGAAGGGCAGAGAGGACGAAGATGATATCCTGTCGATGCTCAGAGAAGCCGGAAGCATTGGTAGAACCGGATGCGGCGCTAGAGGCAGCTGGGCGAGACGTTTCAGCAAATTAAGCGACGGCTTGGACGCTCACGTCGATGTAGGCTCCAGAGCCAACAGAAACAGCGATGGTTCGACCGTATGGGAAGTTACATAATTCGTTTACGATTTCGAATTTGTCATATTTCCTTTTCTAACGAACGTACTTGATATTTTAAAAATGCTGTAATCATTCGTGAAACGGTTTCTTAAATATTTCGTACTCTAAGATAAAAGACCCAATTACTGCCATCTGAACAATTAGCTCTAGTAATATTGCATTTCTTTTATTTATTTATCAAAATTATAAGTTTTTCCACTTATTAGATATTATTCAATATCTTTAATTGGAGAAGAGAATACTGCGACTTTCGTCAAAACTTCTATTTTTATTTGCAAATTTAATAATTTAGGGAAACTATTTTTGAGACTATTAGAGTCACCTCTAAAATGTGTTTGACATAATTATTAATACCCCAATTACTATTAACTGACCAGACCCTCTCAGGCTGGAAAACCCAATTACTATTCTCTTAAAAGAGTATTCTATTGTAAAACGCATACTTTTAAGTCTTTTTTAATTAATAATTTTTTTCGTTAGGTAGCATACAAGTGTTGCCTTTTTTATTATATTAAATGTACTCATAATTGGAATTTTAGGGTGACAGTAACTGGATCATTTACCCTATAATTTTACAACTATCAAGTCGATAATTGTTTACAAAACCAACGATCTCATTAGTTTTAACAGGTATTAAATATATCAGAAGCAGTATATTTCCGAATATTAGTGCAAAAAATAATTGTTGTTCGCTCTTAACAAAATCAATCCAATTCAGATAATTATTTTTCTTTCGACGAATAAACAATACTAAATTAAAAATAAATTATAATTAATCGTTTGTACTTTTGTTTGAATCTTAAACGTAAATTTATGCTAAAATTGAAAATTTCTAATAATTATATCCTTAAAAATTAAGAACGAGCGACAATTATTTTTTACGTCGGAATATTCAAACACACCCTCTAATATATTTAAAAACCGTTGAGATCGATGAGATTGTTGCATTTGTAAATAATTACCAGTAAGTCTTACGAGTATCGAAATACCAAGTACAAATTTTAAATACAAACAAACGAAACAAATAATTGTGATATTTTAGAAACGTGTGCAACGTACTACGTATTCGAGTAAGCCACGATTGAATTAAAGTAATTTATAATGAGGTGATAAATGCCAAACGTATTTCAAAACTATTTAAATAGTTGACACTTTCTGTACTCTATGACCTAGAAAGATATTAATAATTTAAAATATAAAATCAGTGTGAGTGATTCATGACACAAACAGTAACAGTATTATAGTAGTAAGCTTCTTTTGTGATGTTTAAAGTCTGTAATTTATTTCCTAAAGTAAAAATTTATGTAAATAGTATTTAGATAGAAATGTTAATAATATAGATGTAAATAGCGTTGATTGACGAAATAGTGATGTTTTGCTGTTCCTAGCTTTTGGATCTCATAGCTTCTAAATGTTAAGTGAAATGTAAACAAATTCAAACTTTGCTTTTTAAACAAGAATTATATGTTTATATAGTATTGTAATTAGTATCAAATAATTTTCTATTATTAAGGATCTTTTATATTAAAGAACATACCATACCAAAAAAGACACTTTCACGCATATGGACAATTAAGTGAATTTGTTTAGCTTTATCAACATGGTTTAAAAATAAAAACTATATTAGTTCCTTAACATCATTATGTTAAATATTTAGACATTGTAAATTCATAAGAATGCCTAGAGAATGAAGAATGTGATAAATGTATGAAAATTATTAGTCTAATTTTGTATTACATTAAGAAGTGTGAAGTATAATTTTAAAAACATTGTATTGTCATTTCATGTCTTACCAAGTGAGTAAATGATTTCAGATTTATGAACAATTAATACCTTATACTCGTACACATGTTAGATATAGATAGTCGTATATATTGTATTGGGAAAATGAAACGATAGCGTTACTAATATACTTGAGGCATTAGTTGGAAAAAGGACACATATGCCAAGATGTCATTTCAAAGTTCTCATTAAGACATTATTTAATGAAAAGTAATACAATAATAAAGATCGAATTTTGTATTACTGGTTTATGTGCTTATTATTCATAAATGAGATAAAACCTATAAAAAGTTATATTTTTTGTTCACAAAAGTTTACTAATTTATTACAAATTTTTCGACATATTACTTAGAAAATACAATAAAATTAAATACAAAGATAAACAAAAATTTAATTACCTTAAATAATTTGTGTGTGCGTTAACTAATATTTTTCTTCCACGTTCATTTTCAATCCATATTCTACTAACTTGATCTAGATAATGCAATAGACTTTCTACGTTTTTTTCTTTATTAACTTTTAAACCAAGTGATTCAATTCCCCTTAATCGAATATTTTTCGATTGTATATCCCCATGTAATTGTTACCTTTATCGAAGCAAACACATACGCGTATCGTCCCTCCATGAGAAGAAGGCACAGCGTGTTTACATCCCTACTCTTGCTGCAGTCCGCTGATTGGCTGTCACCGATCTTCATCACAGTTTTCGACCAATACCTGTATTAACGAACTGCAACAGGAGTGGGGATGTAAACACACTTTTGCTTTCTTCTCGTGGAAGAATGGTACATACCCTTTTTCCATCCAATGCCTCAATTATTATTTGACCATTGAAAATATACTTTATAGTTTTTTTTCGGTTTTCTTCATTGACTGCAATATTTTCCTACACAGAAAAGGTAATGAGTTTTTCAAAATTTACACAATATACTCTTTATTGTACATAATTTCAATATTTCATTTTCCGTCTTACGCTTGACATTATTACAATAATTACTATAGAATATATTTATAATAATATACATGTACATATTTACTTTTTTGCTATTGATTCAATTTATATGTATAATTCTATATGTATATTGGCCTATGATTCATTCCATACTGCACTTTCTTGCGTCTTCTGCTTCCTTTTAAAATCTAAAAGTGTATCACAGTTGTGTTGAGGGATAGACAGGGATTTTAAAGAAAAGGAGACCGTTCAGACGACCGAAATCGATACATAGTCCATTCAGTCAGATCTTTTCGGACCTCGTACACGCCAAATTTCATACCTGTAATTCGGCAAATAGCTGCGATGAAATGTATTCTACATTCCTAGTCTGTAAATGATTTTTTATCTTACTAGAAAACAGCTTATATTGTCTTTAAAAATAAACTGTCATATACATTAAAAAACAAATAATAAAAAATAATAATTTCGATCGTGTGCGACTTAAAAAATGAGGAAGAACTTCGTATACGTTTCTTTCGTCTTCTCTAACTTGTCTGCTAGTAATCTGCAACAGTCAATCCTGTTATAACAGACACTCTCGTATGTACGATTCTTGCTTTTGCATTAAAGTCGTGTAGATCATATCAAGGAATATTCCTTAGTGAAATCACATTTTCCATTTAATTCGTAAACGTAGTAAAACTGTTGTGCATCATGCAGCAATATAGGAGATTCAAATACGTAAAATTGTCAAACAGATCTTGTTTATTGTACTAATTTATAAAAATATTTCACGGATTTGAACAACAGCTGTTAACACGCTGCTCTTTATGCGTTCTATACAAAATTTCTTTCTTTAGATATCTTTCAGGATAAATAGTTCCAAGTTGTTCAACGGCATAGAATATAAGGCCTTATATCTATTATATATTCGCTTCGTAAAAAAATGTCTAAAAATATACTATATGCGTTAAAACATTCTATATCGTTTCGAAAAATAAATTTTCAATAAAAATAGAGTCACACGTGTTAAAAGACAAATTGTAAAAAGGAATGTAACAGCATCTCATCACACACGGACCGTGCTTCAAGAACGTTTTCGTTAAATATTCTGTATTAATATATATACTGGTTGTGCATGTCTCGAGTGACGAGTAACGAATCGCAGTAAATACATTAACCAAAGCCTAAACAATAATTTGTTTATAAAAGAAGCGTTTTCTCCTGTGAATAAAAAAAAAAAAAAAAAAAAACAACACAGTAGAGTAAATTTACATTGTCAGTCGTATCGAACAGGCATAACAGTTGAATCGACTAATCTTTCTGAGTGGACTAAATCTCGATTTCCAAAAAGATGTATTTTAATTTAGGTAAGAGGTAGGAAGATGTAACACTTAACTAGGTCCAGGAGGAGCATTGAAATTAAACATGGTGGTTGGTGGACGTCCCGGTAATGGTTTCGGTGGTAATCGCGGTGTTACCGATCCTGAAACACAATACTCGATCAAAATAAGGGCAGGAACGCAATGACTTTCATTTAGAAGTTCAACTGCGTTTAAATGTTTACCATTAGGTTGCGTAGGTGGAAGTTTCGTAGGACTGGGCCCATTGAAAGACATGTGTCTCCGTGAATGAACGGTATTCGAACACGTGCTTTCCAACGTGGAATTTCGCCTTGCAAGCAGCGACGAGCTACTTGGATTCAATGTAGGAAGCCGAGGCGGTAACGTTACTGGGGGCAAGTCTCTTCGCGGCGGTAATGGCGGCGGAGACGTACCATCCCTCGGAGGAAGTATTGGCGCGTTTGGAGCTTGTCTTGCCTGTACAATAGGTTATAAATAGTATTTTTCACGTTACATGAGGTTAAAATTACATACAGGCAGTTCTCAACTTACGATCGACTTCAATTTACAACTACTCGTACGATTGTACAAAAATAAATAAAAATACAGTACAGTTTGTTACACTGTCTATGGATCAATTGGTGTGTGTCGTTTGCGCTGGATTGTTCGCTCGTATTGTAAATTCTTATAATATATTTAAAAACGAGACCAAAAGTAATGAAAGAATACACAAACTGTGAAAACAAAATTAAACAGAATATTTGAAAGACTTACAATTAGTACTATTGACTCGCCAATCGGAAAGTTCAATTAATGAATCATATGCCCCGTAATAAACACAGATGATAAAGAATTCTAAGAACCCATTGAAAATTAATCTTATTCTGTTTGAATAATTATATGAGTACATACTTATATTAATTTATATACCATGTAAAAAAATGGAGACAATTTAAATGAGATTTTGGAGGCCAAAATAAGACGAAAATCAAGAATATCAATTTCTTGATTGAGGCTTCATTAAAAAGTTATTAACAAATTTCAAATCGTTCTAAAAAAATTATATTTAGTTACGGGGGTTAATTACAAGCATTTTTTGTGAATAGACCTACCCTCGAAATCCTACCTACTTTCGAGAAAAAAATTCGAGAAGTTGTCGACAAAATCAAAAATTTCAAATCGTCCTAAAAAAATTATTTTCAGTTGCAGGGGTCAATTACAATCATTTTTGGTGATTAGACACCCCCCCGAAATCCTGCGCATTTTCAAGAAAAAAATTCTTTACATATGGAACTTTAAACGTTAATAACTTTTTAACGAAGCCTCCATCAACAAATTAGTATTCTTGATTTTCGTCTTATCTTGGCCTCTAGAATCTCCCATTAAAATTTTTCCCATGGGTGGCTGCTCACCCTTATACAAACGAATAAACTTACAGTTGTATGTTCTGTGCTAATGTTAGATTCTATGGCTGGACAATATGAGTTATTTTTATGAAATTGAATTTACATTGCTATTGCACAAAACTCGTCGTAAATTGGGGACAACCTGTAAATATGTATATAGGGCTTCTCAAAATAATCAAACTAGCTGAAATATGTTAATTCCTTCTGCAAAAAGAAATGAAAATGGTTTTGTATCATTCTGTAATCCGAGTAGTTTTAAATTGAGAGTCATAAATAATAATGAAAATTCTATGATCGATTGAATATAATTCTGCATTTTGCTAATAAATTGTTAGAGATAGTTTAGGTTGGCAACGATTTTTTATATTGTGTTGACACCACATAGGATGCCCCCGCGCTGGTTACCCTCTCGTCCGGTTTGATATGTTTAGTAAAACCTACTAATGTATTTGTCGTGTACGAATTTTCCACCGACGTTGTTCGGAAAGTTAAACCCGTACGTCGCACGCCGACTTAACTTTGTGCGAATATTTTATGTTTGAAAGTGGACTGTATTTAAACTTATGATGGATATGCAATGCGGTGACTCGAAAAAATGAATACTTGTCGGTTTGTTGATGCTCCGCAAAATTCTTGTTGAACTCTTATTTCTGAGCGAGCGTCGCTCTTTATACAGTTCTTAATTGGGCGGTTACTAATATGCGAAAAACACTGATTGGTTACAAGATTTTGTAAGGCGTGAACGGCCAGCCCCTGCAAGAAGGGGTGGTGTGGGTGTCACCAAAATTGTCTGTTTTTGGCTGTGTCGGTGGTCGCGCGAAAGTGCTATTGTATTTTTGAAGGTTGACCGTGGCGTGCAATAAAACTAGACTCCTAATTGCTGGAAAAAACGTTTGTAACGAGCTTGACGCACAACTGCTAAACATCTGGTGCGCAGGTATGGAAAGAACAAATTTTGTTATATGACGGTATTTACAAGGCTCTTTCTGAGTTGGGCTCGTTTGTTGTTTGACGGTCATACGGAGGGCTCGCGACGCGACATGCTGGCCCCCTTGAACGGTCATGTTCAAAAGATCTAAAAGTCGACAAACAGCGAACAATTGCACTGCAGGCAAAACTGAATACTTAATACTATAACATTACGAGGTATTTATAATCCTAGAAAATTACATAGTGTTTTTGATTCAAAATTGTTCTGAATCTAAACTAATCCTTATGGCTAAGTTATACTAGGATGTACTGTACATTTGTTATATGCAGTCTATTGGTAGTGGCGCAAGTCTCTTCACACTGCGTTTATACACTCCTAACGGTGTCCTTATTGTCACTACACGTGTTATGTGGTCGTCTCCTGGGTGCACCTCCAAGACTCTACCTAATTTCCACTGCAACGGTGGTAGATTGTCCTCTTGCACCAGGACCAGCATCCCTTCCTTGATATTTTTATGGTTACCAGTATGCCATTTACATCGGGTATGGAGCTCGTGCAAATACTCTCGATGCCATCTACTCCAGAAATGTTGCTTAATTTTCTGAGTGTGCTGCCACAATGACAGCCTATTCGTTTGTACATGTGTCCATTCATATTCCGGTAGGGTTTGTAACGAATCACCAATTAGGAAGTGTGCGGGTGTTAGAGCGATATAGTCATTAGGATCAGAGGATATGGGTGTTAATGGTCGGGAATTCAGGATTGCCTCGATCTCGATTATAATGCTGTTCAATTGTTCGTATGTGAACAGTGCTTCTCCAAGAGTAGCCTTGAAATGTTTTTTAAAGGCCTTCACTGCGGCTTCCCATAGACCCCCGAAATGAGGCGAACGGGGTGGAGAGAACGACCAGTTGACACCTTCATTGCTCAAATATTGTTTTAATTTTCCTTTATGATCGTTCGAGTTTACGAATGCGGTTATTTCAATAATTTCGTTATTTGCGCCTAGGAAATTGCTCCCGTTATCGGAGTATAAAGTTCGGGATTTTCCCCTTCTCGCGAAAAATCGTTTTATCGCGGCTATACATGCTTCCGTGGTTAGATCGGTTACTAATTCTAAATGAGTAGCCCTTGTGGCAAAACATACAAATACTACTACGTATCCCTTGGTTTTCTTAACGTTTCGGTGTTTTCGTTCCTTTAAAAACAATGGTCCACAATAATCGACTCCTGTGGTTTCGAATGGCCGTGTTTGTGTCACACGGTCTTTCGGTAAATTTCCCATAACATACTCAGATAGCTTGGGATTGGCTTTAAAGCAATTTACACAGTTATGAATTAATCTGCGCGTAAGATTTTTTCCATCTATTGGCCAATATCTTTGTCTGACGGCGTTTAAAGTGGCTTGTATACCCGCATGCCAATGTTTTAAATGCTCATGCCTGATTATTAATTCTGTAACGTGATTGTTGCGTGGTAATAAGATCGGATGTTTGTATGAATAGTTTATTGCTGCGTGTTTTAATCGGCCGCCGACTCGAATTAAACCCTTCTCGTCAAGGAATGGTGTTAAATTAAGTAATTTACTTCTTTTGTTTATTTCCCTACCTTCCTTCAAATCCCTCAATTCCTGCGTAAACTCTTGTGCTTGTGTTAATTTAACTATATGTATATGTGCATTAGAAATCTCTAAATTAGTCAATTCGCCCGCAACTCTGTTTTTGCTTTTACAATTATTATAAAACCGTAATATATATGCTAGTGCCCTGTTGAGCCTATTTATTGTTGAGAATCTACCAACGAAATCTGTTGTATTAATTCTTGCTACTAAAACCTTGAAGCTACGAGTTTCCGGTATTTCTATTGCAGGTAGTGTAATAAATGGCCAAGTTCGTTCGGCCTGTGAAAGCCACTGCGGCCCCTTTAACCATCTTAGGTTATTTAGAAAAAGCAGAGGTGTCTGTCCCCTGGATATGAAATCTGCCGGATTTTCGACACTAGAGATATGACGCCAATTTTCAATATCTGTTTGCTCTTGAATTTCGTTTACCCGATTGGCAACGAATGTTTTTAGCAAATGCGGTGAGGTTCTAATCCAAGTTAATGCTATCGTTGAGTCCGACCATAACACGATCCTTTTAATTTCGAGGTGGGTCATCGCGTTAAGGGTTTCTCTTATTAAATTTGCTAATAACTTAGCGGCGCACAATTCTAAACGCGGCAATGATAAGGTTTTTACTGGCGCAACCCTTGATTTCGCGCACAACAAACTAACCTTACATTTTCCTTGATTATCAATTGACCTCAAGTAAATGCACGCGCCGTAAGCCGCTTCACTAGCGTCACAGAATCCATGCATCTGTATTTCTATTGGGCTATCAACAATCGTTTTTCGCGGCGTCGAAAATTTATTTAATAGTGGTAGCTCTTGCGTAAATTCTAACCACATGGTATGGATAGATTGAGGCACAGACTCATCCCAACCTAGGTCAGCCTTCCACAATAGCTGCATTATAATTTTTGCGCGTACTATAACTGGTCCTAATAGCCCTAACGGGTCGAATAATTGTGCGATCTGTGAAAGTATTGTACGTTTCGTAGGTCGAGGATTGCCGTCGGTCAGTTTTATGTTGTAGCGTATTTCGTCCGTCCTTGGTTTCCAACCTATACCTAACGCCTTCCTAGTTTCGTCTGTGTCTAAGGACAGAGTGCGCTCTTGATTAATTAATGCTAGATCTTCGATCAGACTCTCATCGTTTGATGCCCACTGTCTTAAATTAAACCCGCCTTTCCTTGCTAACGCTATGGTTTCTTCGCGAATTACTAATGCTTGTTCGCGAGTAGATGCTCCGGTGAGCAAATCATCTACATAAAAATCTGTTCTGAATATTGCTGCCGCGGCGGGAAAATTATCCTGTTCGTCAACCGCTAATTGTTGTAGACAACGCACGGCTAAAAATGGAGCTGACGTGGTTCCGTCTGTTACGGTATTCAGTTCGTAGGTTTTGATTGGTTTGTCTCGTGAATCGCGCCACAATATCTTATGATATTTCCTGTCCTCTGTATGTATTTTAATCTGCCGAAACATCTTTTCTATATCTGCCGTTAAAACATAGGAATGCGAACGAAATCTAAGTAATAATTTGTACAGGGTATCCTGTAGGATAGGCCCATTTAATAATGTGTCGTTTAATGCTATGCCTGTCGATGTTTTCGCTGAGGCGTCGAATACTACGCGTATCTTAGTAGTCTCGCTAGACTCTTTTATTACCGCGTGGTGCGGCAGGTAGAACCCCTCGGCGGAATCGTCCGCGTTGACCTGTGTCATATGTCCTAATTGTTCGTATTCATTTAAAAACTCCCGATATCCTGCTAATAATTCTTGATCGGAATGCAATTTCCGTTCTAATGCGTAAAATCTTTTTAATGCTGCCTCGCGTGAACTTCCTAACAATTGTTTGCGTTCGTTAAAGGGTAATCTTACACAATACCGCCCATCCGCTTCTCGTACGGTGCCCTGTTCAAACGAATTTTCCGCAGCCCTTTCTTCTTCCGATAAATATACCTGATCCGCGAATTCTTCTACTTCCCAGAATTTGTTTAATGTCTTGTCTAATGTTGATGTTGTATGAAATGACTTTACTGTGTTCTTGTACGATGGTTGTAGATCTGATTCGCCGGTAACTATCCAACCTAGTCTGGTTTTTTGTAAGATGATTTTACTATTATTTAATTTGATTTGTCCATTACTTAATAGGTTAAAAAACAACGTATTACCTAATAATGCGTCTATCTTCCCGGGCTTATGGAATGTCGGATCCGCTAACGTGAGGTTTTTTGGAATTTCGATCGATGTTCTGTCGACTTGTCGAGACGGTAGTGACCCGGTAATCAACGGTACAGTAATAAATGAAATGGGGGTAGAAAATGTACCGTTTCGCGCCTTGACTACTGTTTTTACAAGGTGTTGCGCCCTGGTCGCCTGTTGACCTATACCTGAGAAGGTTAGATTGACGCTGTGTTTGCGTAATTGCAATTTGTCGGCTAACTCGGTGGTTATAAAATGGGTTTGTGATCCCCCGTCTAATAATACGCGACAATCATGTTCCCTATTGAATCTGTCCAATATTTTAATTTGCGCGGTTCCGAGTAAGGTTTCAAAATTGCATGTAACTGTTAATGTAGTCGTATTGACCCCCGAGCTTGTTGCATTGACTCCCGAGCTTGTTACCTGACTTCCTATTCGCGCATTGTGAGGGTTTATGTTAGCCCGCTGTTCGTCGTTAAAATGTAGTAAGGTATTGTGTTTCAAATTACATTTTTTGCATCCGCTAGCTTGGCATGTGCCGACTAAATGACCGTTTCGGAAGCAATTAATACATAGCTTGTTTCGTTTAATTACCTCGAATCTCTCCCGAATTGGTGCTTGCAAAAAATGCTTACAATAATAAATTTCATGCTTATCCCTACACATGACGCATTTGTCTGTATTCGTCGTCGCGACGTGAGTGTACCCCCTTGTAAATGGTTTATTTCGTAGTGGACGATCTGGATACAAAACCCGCCTACTCGCGTTTGAAGCTTCCGCTTCAATTTCATCGCCCCGCGCTTGTTTATTTATGAAATTAATTAGTTGGTCGAATGTCGGCATCTCGTCATTCTCTAAAGTGCGTTCCCATCCGCGACGCGTATTCTTATCTAATTTTTTGCCGACTAGATAAACTAACATTGCATCCCATTGTGCTATGGGCTGACCTAGGGTAGCGAGTGCGTTTACATGCATTTGAGCCTGTTCCGCCAATGACCTGAGGCTTGAGGATGCATCACGCGTTACTTCGGGCAATTCGAATAAAGTTTTTAAGTGTGTTTGCACTATTTGTCTCGGTCTGTTACATCGCTTTTGCAACAAATCCCAAGCTACTCGGTAGTTTGTTTCGGATGCGTTTAATGTTGAAATTACTGACGCGATTTCTCCGCGAAGTGCATTCTTTAACAGATGGAATTTTTGTACGGCCGGTAAGTCTTCATTATTATGGACCAGTGTTCGAAACGTATCGTGGAAACTATGCCACTCCATAGGGTTACCGTCGTATGGTTTGATTTCGATTTTAGGTAAAAGGCTACTTTCTTGTCTTATTGTTACCGTGTTCGGCGAGTCCGTGAATCTACCTGGGTTAATACCTGTGTTAGGGGTTTGTAATCCCTCGATTCGACGGTTTATGCTACTGGTGATTCTAAAATATTTCCGCTCGAATTGTTCTCTTTCCGCGTCATGATCGGATATGTCATCCTCTAATTCTATGTTTGTCTGCACGGTTTCAAAGTTTTTATTCAATTCTAACATCTTTTCCTTGCGAATTTGTAACTCGTGAATGTCAAACTGATCGCCCTCATCGAGGTATGTCTCTATCCGCGTTAGCTGTCCCTTAATCGTGATTCTTTGTCTCCTGAGGGCTTTCATTGGCACTGTCTCAGGTACGTTTGCCATCTCGCGATAATTAAACAACGAATGTAATCGAGTTCGTGACTGCTTGCAATAAGGGAAAATATGTGAAAGGAATAGTGATTCGTGGACTTACCCTACCGACGTCTGAACTTCGAACTGTTGCTCGTTGCTGCAATGTCTGGATGAGGCTGCGTGGCCTCGATGTTGCTGCGTTGCCTCGATGATGCTGTGATGCGTCGATGCTGCGATGCGTCGATGATGGTGCTGCGATGCGCCGATGATGCTGCGCTGCGTCGATGTTGGCCCGGTGCTGCTGCGTGGCCTTGGATTTTCCACCGTCCGACGGCTGCTTCCTCTGCTGAGGTGTCCGATGCGGCTGCTTGTGGATACTTCCTTCACCGGCGACGTAGTGTCCTACGGTGCTGCTGTTGATCTGCCCTCTCCAAAGAGGTTGTCGTAAGTGTCAACGTTGGAGCTTCTGTTGCACTACCGACAATTGTCTATGATGTCCAAGGAATATCTTCCTTGGTAGTCACCACACTGCACTACAAATGTCGTGTTTGCCGTTGGAATCCGGCTCGAAGGACCAAATGTCGTGTACGAATTTTCCACCGACGTTGTTCGGAAAGTTAAACCCGTACGTCGCACGCCGACTTAACTTTGTGCGAATATTTTATGTTTGAAAGTGGACTGTATTTAAACTTATGATGGATATGCAATGCGGTGACTCGAAAAAATGAATACTTGTCGGTTTGTTGATGCTCCGCAAAATTCTTGTTGAACTCTTATTTCTGAGCGAGCGTCGCTCTTTATACAGTTCTTAATTGGGCGGTTACTAATATGCGAAAAACACTGATTGGTTACAAGATTTTGTAAGGCGTGAACGGCCAGCCCCTGCAAGAAGGGGTGGTGTGGGTGTCACCAAAATTGTCTGTTTTTGGCTGTGTCGGTGGTCGCGCGAAAGTGCTATTGTATTTTTGAAGGTTGACCGTGGCGTGCAATAAAACTAGACTCCTAATTGCTGGAAAAAACGTTTGTAACGAGCTTGACGCACAACTGCTAAACATCTGGTGCGCAGGTATGGAAAGAACAAATTTTGTTATATGACGGTATTTACAAGGCTCTTTCTGAGTTGGGCTCGTTTGTTGTTTGACGGTCATACGGAGGGCTCGCGACGCGACAGTATTTATTAATCCAAATATATAATTGTAAGTTACGTATTAAATATATAATAAATGTCAAAACGCATCACGCTTAGAGTTGAAAGTTAATGCTCGACATAAATGAAAAAAAATGTCGAATACACTGAGCTTATAATTACAACTCGATACACGTGACAACATTATAGGCAAGTGTTTTCTCGTGCGTGAATATGTGCATATGCGGTCGCGCTATTTATATCCCAATCAGCTGATCGCGTTGCCACGCATGGACGCACTCACACACGAGAAACGCTTATCTATGACATTCTCGTATGTACAAACTTTAATTACTCGTATCTTGAAAACTAAGCCTCAGATTACAAAATGGTAAAGAACTTTTCCACTTCTCGTCACACGAGTAATTTTCCCCTTTTTAGCCTGTCCCAACATTTTTAAACACCCTGTAAATATAAATTAAAAGATACAGAGCAACGTTTTTCAAATTTCTCACCCCATGATATATCGGTCTTTAAACTGGAATATATATAATTTATACTCGAGTGCATTTAAATATAAAAATGTAAATGAAAATTAAAGCTGCGTTCTACATAAGGAAAGTCATATACATACATATATACATATATTATGTAACAAACAAAGCAAATTATAATTTTGATACAATAAAGTTAGTATACAGGATGAGGCATTTAAGACCAGCCACCTGAAGAACTTGGCTGCTATTGGTGATAGGAAAAAATTATTTGGCAATGAAGGGCTGATCATCCGATGTTACTAGTTTTTTATGCTTGATCATTTCCTCGAAGTAAATTATTTTCCATCACAATTGGCTTAACCCAGACCAGGAATGACCTTTCCATAGGTCATTGTATTCACCCTGAAATGCTCTATCAGAATGTAAATAAAAAAACAAAGATGACTTTCATATCTCCTTGATACCTCCAGCTATCAAAAAACTAGTAACATTGGATGATCAACCCCTCGATACCAAATAATTTTTGCCTAATGCATTTTTTTCCTATCACCAATAGCAGTCAAGTTAGTCAGATGGTCTTAAGTGCCTCACTTTACATTTGCAATTTACACAAATCATTATATCGTGTATTTAAAAAGTACCATGATCTAGTCTGAAAAACGCTGATATTGATTATCGTGTAACTCACCTGTTGCGGTGACTCGCTTATGGAACTCTCCCGTTTTCTATGAGATCTAGGTGGCAAAGGTGGCGGAGGTTGACTGGAAGGTACGTGGCTGGGAGACGGCGGTGGCGGCATCGCTGCACCAGGACTTCCACCCGACGATGACATACCAGTCAGAGCTCCCATAACACCGATCGTACCGGAATTAAAGCCGAAGTGACTATTTTGCGGCTGATGATGTGGAATAGGCAAATGGCCAGGCGAACCCAATTGCGGACTGCTACCCGGCGAACTAATCGAAAGTCCTGACATGCTAAGCGGACCTGGTGAACCTGGAGGTGGACCTGTACCTGTATTAAGAGTAAAGTGCATCTACTACCCTATGCAAGCACATTCTGCAACGAAATAAAACTTCTCTGTCCGTTTGTTCACGAAAGAAATAGTTTACAAAAAGCGGCCTACTATATTCATTAGCGTTATTGAAGTAGGCTTCGAATCTCGAGCTCTCAAAGCCCTCGAGCTTTGTATGCAAGTTTTATAGCCTTAGGTTTTAATCATTTGCGGTTTTAACATTGAGCTTTAAAGATTCGAAGACTCGAGCTTTACGTGTCGCTAATTTCTATATTACGTTTGACATTGCCCAATACGAACCTCCCAATAAAACAGGTGCAAAAACACTGTGGTCTCCTATATGAGAAACTGTGATGTGTGAAGCGTGCGGAGGAGTTTCTGGCAATTCCGGCGGCGGCGCTTCCGGTGGAGGATCGTGTAACCTTACACTGGAGGCTACGGCTTGCAATGGAGCTGGTAACTTGCCGCTCAAACTTCTAGCTTTAATGCCCGGCGACTTTAAATTTAAGTCTGGCCATTTACGGGGCTGCACAGATAAACAGCTTCAGATAGTAAGGTCAATGTTGCTATATTTATACAGTTTGTGATACTTTCAAGTGCAACTTACGACTCTAGGTGGTTGTCTACATCCCCTCGGTTCTACTTCTAAGCTTTTATTGTACAAATAATTGCTTATATCTGCATCTTTCATATTAGGATCAAAGGGTGACAAGTTCTCTATGAAATGCCTTATCCTAGGCTCCACTGAAAGACAATACGGTTGATTTTGATACTGTTGAATTTCACCAGTTATTTCTGCTACTTTCCGTCGCTTGCTAAAATTTATAAGTTCTGGACTCCCCGGCAAATAATCAGGATTTCCTTCTTCAATGTGCAGAATATTGGTCAGGTAGATACCTAGAAACAGAAGTCATCGGTAAAAATCAATTAATCAATCAAACTATCAAACAATGCTCCATTTTCATTGCTTACCAAAGAATGGTACACATGGTGGATTAATAGATCGTAATTTTTCTTGATATTTTCGAAAGTGACCATTATTCAATTCTCGCGCTTCTTCCAGGGCTTTTTCCAATCGTGCCGGTATTTGCTGTAAATATAACAAAATTTATATTATTAATAGCAAATTATTTAATAGTACATGAAATAACGTTGAGGAAACGTACTTGGAAAGTGAATTTTAACCTAAATACAGATGCAGATCCCATAGCACTAACAATTGCTAATACACCATTAAAGTTATTAAGATCTTGAAACACCATCATAATTTCGATTGCACGCGACACAATCGCTACTCGTTCCTCTAGGTTTTCAGCTTCCACTATCGTTTTTTCAAGCCATCGAGTAAACTGTACAATAAAAAAGAAATAACTGTGTTTTCATTTAATAAACTGTACTGAATGCAAATTTTGTTAAAGCGTGAAATATATACTTACGTTTGTCGTATGCTTTATCATTTTTAGTAGGTTCGGAGATGACTTTTCTTTATCTTTCTTAGTCCATACTGACCCTACCAGTTCTGAAGGTTTCACAGTTCTATTCAATTCAAACTCTAAGAGGGTTAGTTGTCTTGCTAGTTCAATTGGATGTAACTGAAATTTGTAATAAGTTAATTATTAAATTATCCTTACAACGCAAATATCAATTGTGCTCATAAATATTACCGTTAGTATTCCCCATTCTTCTTCAGGAACTTTTAGGTGCCACTCGATAGGTGGTGGAGATCGTTCGAAGCTAAAAGTTATAGGTCGTTGTTCCGAAGGTTCACATTTTCTCTGTACAATTTTTATCACCGAATCCACCCATTTTCTCATTGACTTTCCGCTTACAGTGTCTAGAAATAATTGTAACCTTTCCAAAAGATTCCTATCACGTTCAAAATCATAAAAATGGTGATCGACCTAATAATCGAATAAGATGTAAATAAATATTAAAAGGTTTAGAGTAAAAATATTTAAAAATAAAAGTACTAAAACATTACTAACCCAGTGTCTTAAAACATTTAAAACTCTGAATTGCACAGGTTGACAAAATTCTTTTCTATATCTCTTCCAATCTTCCCTTGCGGTTGTTTTACAACCAGAAGGCTTTTCTTCGTCACCATAAACTAATGAAGGATCTGGTATGTCAAATCTTTCGGTTAACAAAGTCAATAGTTCCTGAGGTGAGCAAAAACTCCTAGAGAACGAAGTATAATCAGATGTCACAGAACATAAAGAAAATTCAGTTTCAAATAAAAAATAAATGTCTAGTACATAAATTCAAATACCTATAAGTAGTAAGGAATGTTCGTACAAAAGCTGGGTCAGCATATATATGATAAGTTAATCTTTCTACCAATTTAATCAAAGTTGCACCCTTAATCAATGGGACACCTCCATTTTCTCTGGCCTCCAAAACAATATTTTCTGGACCATCCTGTTCGGTAAATTTATATAAATGTGGCGGAGGTAATCTTAAAGGATGCTTTCTTTCTTCGTCCAAAAGTATACTGTCCAAAGTTCTTTCTAACATACTCTTTGTATTCAACATTACAAGATCCGCCATCCAACTATTTTTATCTTCGACGGATTTGGCAACAAGAATAACATTAGGGTGGTCCCTTGGTGCAATTTCAAAGGCATTTTTTAATTCTGGGAAAATAATTACATATAGTTATTTGAATAACGGGAATCATTTCAATTTCAACGTTACAACTTCCTCTGAACTCACCTTCGGTATCCTCCCTATCAATAATATAAACTTTTCTAATAAAAAATCGTTCCTTTAAACGCAATTCACCTTGGTGAGGTGGATGACCCACCACACCGACTGCTGCCACGGTAACGCTAACTCGTTTGCCGCCACTGGGTTTACAAAGAACTAATAAGCCATCAAAAAGAAGAGCCTTTCGTTCTGTTAATCTCCTTCCGTTACTCACTTTTCCCAACATATCCTCTGTACATAATAAAAAATACAATAATAATTTATGTAACAAAATAATTGTTAAAAAAAAACCATCCATTTTTTATACCGCGTATAAATTCGTTGCAACATTGTCCAACATCCCGCTGATCCCACCCATCAACTGTTTTTTGTAATTCGCTAGTTTTCTCTAATGCTGCTTGCCTTCTTGCTCTACTCTGCATTCGCAGGCCTGTATCTTTTTTTGGAAGACTCGCCTTAGATTTCGACAGTTCCATATGTAGCGGTCTCAAAAGACCTTCTACTTGTTCCAATGTTTCACCATCTTCTGTATTTGGTGTACGTTTGTGTAATACCTGTGTAAAGTGCCATTGAACTGTCGGACTGACGTACATCCATCATTTAAAACGATATTCGTGTATAAAATTATTTCAAAAATACCTTTATATAGTCAAAGTACAAAAAACAATGCCATATCGGTTGTAGTAAAAGTTTTGGCAAATAATATTTGACAGCTTCTTTAAATCCATGTCCTGCCGCTCGTAATGCGTTACTAGCTTCGGGTCTCGACAATAAATTTGTTAAAACTTCTCGACTAGCTGGACCATTAATGTCTTTTGCATACCTAACGTTACGATTACAATAACTTATATTTTTAGAAAACAATACAAATACATGTATAATATTTTAACAGTTTCATATATACTTTATATAAACATCAAATTCTGCTGCTTCTGCCAGTTCTTCAAAACAGGAGCCAACCGTGGGCGTTTGTTTTTCTTCTGTAATTTCCATTATATCTTCTAAACTACCAAGTAATGTTACAGTAACTTCATAAATATCCATTATATTACTGAAGAGTGTTTCAAGTTCAGTTCTATCTTGCGCTAACTTTGCGATTTCTTCCCGAAATACCTATTTGAATAACAAAAGAATTTTACCTTATTTAAATTAATGGCACACCTCATCAACTTTATAAATTACCCACCTTAATGATCATATGAAGATCACGCAAATAGTGACGTTCATCGTGTATGAGATCCCGGACAGATTCTTCGTAAGTCTGAGAAACGACTGAGCCCAAACCACTTTGTGGACCCTCTGCATAATCGTCTTGATAAAACAAGTCCATTAATACCTGTTAATAAGTTGCTAATTAAAAGTAAACTTTGCTTTATGAATTAAGAACTAAATACATGACCAAATGATTTTGTGACCTTTGATGCTACAGATATAATTATAAGATTTCGGAAATTAATATGTTACCATATCTGCACACATCGCAACTCTTATGTCTTCGCACGATATTTCCACATGGCGTATATTCTTGACATAGTTTCCAGCTAGCTGAAAAGAAAATGACCTTAAACATTTTTGGAAGTTAGTACTAATAAACATGAAATAAAGTTTGTTAATTCTAAACTATAGCATAGATTGCTTATTATATTAACACTAGGACGACGAACATCGGTGCCGGATCCATTTGGACTCCAATTCATAATATAAATAATAGTAATCATTAATAAGAATAAAAAATAACATAAATGCAGATAAACAATATTTAGAGTGGGTCCAAACGTGCCCAGACGACGCCATCCAAGTGTTACTTAAAATACTTTTTCTTCAGATAATAGTTATCGTTAGAAAATTTTGACCATAATAGCTTTTACCAACCTTCAAAATATCTGCAGAAATATATTCCAAGACTCCTACCACAAAAAGACTAACTTGTAAATCAATTTTCTGCTGTAATACTTCCTGTTAATACAACAATATATAAAATTATATTATGTGTTGATAAATACATAAAAACACGCACAATTAGAATCAATCCAATATAATTACTTTTTGTAGTAATTGATGAATTTTATCAACTGGAAGAACTAGCGGTGATTTCTTTTTTCCTTTTTCCAAGGCGTCTCTTGCGTCTCGAAGTGCCCATCTATCGATGGGAGTAGGAAACGTACGTCTGACTCTTTCTTCCACATCTTGAGGCGTATGTGGCGGAGGGTGACCGCAAAGCATACCCAACAGCCTTAAGATCAAACTCTCAACATAGTCTAAGGCATCTTGTCGTGCTTCTAGACTAGGATGTACTTGCTCCAGTACCTATTTTGTATTAATTGTTAATTAAACTATATGACAACTATCATTGAAAAGAAAAACTTTGGTACAAATTGAATATTTTATTTATGCAGTACAAATATAATCTCTTATTTGCAAAGATATTATAATAGATAAAGATTATTGATCCACAACAGGTATGTCGAACTCATATTGGACCTCTAGTCAATTTGCTCTTTGCTACTGTATAGGTCACAGATGTACAATTATTTTAGAACGTTTGGAAATATTATAAAAACTATCTTTCATTTGTATCAATGCCACTTAGTTCACTGTCATGTTAGAATTAAACGTATGCAGGATCGAAAAGAAAACAATAAAAATAATCCATCGAAATAAACAAAGGGATACATTTATTTATAAAAGAGCAATGATACATTACTAAAATTTTCTACCTTCAACAATATTACTTCATTTTTTTGATCAATATAGTTGTACATGTTTTTGATAAATTTATCTTTTGTTCCTTTTGTGTTCATGAAATAAACTATATTTATTGAATTTTCTTTGTAACTTCATTACTATTATTTATGGAATATTCATTGTTCTTTCAAAATATACTTTAATGATTAAATTATAATGAATTAAACATCGCAAAGAAATGAATACATATGCAATATACTGTCATTATTGTATAGTACTCTAAGCAAATAATAATGCTCATAATAAAAAGGTCAAGCAGGCCATCGATGACCATGTATTTGACATGCCTGCTCTGTAATATTAAAAAAAGAATATACTGCTCCATAACATTTTGTTACATAAGATAATCTTCTACATAACAACAATCTTTATAAGTAAAAGTTTTCTCACGTATAAAATACTTATTCAACATAGTTCGCGCATAAAACTAAATGTAACTTGAGAAGATAAATTGCGTGTAGTCAAGATATTATAAAATATTTTATTGTCTCAATATTTGGAATAATTTGCCAACTACATTGTTTTTAACTGAAAATCGTTACAATTCTCGATCATAATATCGTTATATTGAATATGGATACAATGCTTTTAACAAAGTAACAAAGATAATCCTTTATTCGTTTGAAGTTCCAAATAAAATATATTGAAATACAAACATAGTACATTTTTCTGCTAACCCGAATTAAGCCATGCATTTGAAAGTATAATATAAAAAACTATCAAAAAGAAAACTAAATATTGTTTAAACATCAACCTCCAAAAAAAAGTGAACATTAAATGGTTGAGAAGGCAACATATTATTGTTAATTTTTCGAATATTTATCATATTCTTCGTACGATGTGCCATTGGATACCGTCAAGTTCTATGCACCGATTAGAAAGATCTCATGCAACCGTTGCGACGTTTATTCATGTCAATCGGTTTCGTGATACGATAAAATTTCGTGGTTCCTGAAGGGCATATACAAGAGATCGGTGCACGCGTATCGTGCGACAATGACAATGTACGATATATCGGTGAAAACCCAGATCGATGGCATTGGGGGATGCTCGATGAAACGGAACCTCGTGGAAATTCGGTGGAAAGGAATTACTCGAAGAAGAAGATACCTTGCGGAGGGAGTTGACAAACACTCCCTTCCACTTGGCGGCGTTCTCCTCTTTCTGAAAGTCGTAGCCTGACGGCTCGCCCACCACTGACGCTGCCGACGAAAACATCTCAATGCACTGGTACAAGGTATCACGCACCCGACAGAATAACGCGCACTAGCTAGAGAACACGCTCCGGAGAGTTCCCGATATTTACAATGACCATTTCGTCGGTAGTCACAAAAACTTGACAGAGACGTCTGTCTGTCCGTCAGTCCGTTTCTTAGGGCGCAGACATCTCTGTATGTAATGCGACGGCTAAGCTACTCGGTTGTATTCTCTCTGTATCCTAGCGCCTCTAACACTTATTATTCTTGGAAGCATTTCCGAGGCCAACCCGAGAGTCCCCGAGTTATGCCGTTTGTGCATTTTACACGCCCTTTTACTCGAATTTTTGTCAGAACCGAGCGCGAGCACTACTACTATCAAAGGATACCATTGCGCGACTCGCATCGATCGATAACTGCGATAGTACCATCGCGGCAAGATATTCGCGAGCTTCGACATATCTCGCAGCGCAACTATCGATCGATCTTTTCGAGAATTTAAAAAATTTATTTAACGTTCTTTGGGAAAAGGTACAGTGACTTATAAGAAATACTCGTACACAAAAATGAAATTCGTTCAAATTAATTTTTTATATTGAATCGATAGACTGTTGCAAGGTTAGAATGTCATGAAGCTGGTAGTAGTTTTTATTTCGTTGCATATAGATTGTTTACGTTATCCGTATTGCTATTTATTTTTGGAACGCGATGCTACAAATTTAAGAAATAATCCTGCAATCTTTAGATTCCTAATTTATTTATAAAAAAAGATGGGCATATGGGTGCATGTGGTAATTACGGACTATCGTGGTTAAACTAACTTCAAAGTAGCACGGTATTGCCAAGAGTTTCTTTGATTCAACAAAAGTTAAACAAATCACATTGTGACTCTATGGGAAGGAATCTGACATTTACAGAAATTTGTAATAGATTATTAATAGACTAATTCGTTTCCAATTTTAACGAAATTATATTTCACTGTACGATAAAGGCGTCTATTCTCTACAAGTCTACCATAGAATAAAAACTAATGAGAACGAGTAAACATACTCAGCGTCTCGCTACAGTCCATGGCGTTCTTATGCATGCCTAGGGATTTTCTTCGTAACTCAACGTTTCCCCTAGGAAAAGCGAATGCCTAGTTAAAATGGTTCTTATTGCTCTAACAGAAAGTCACCAATCAAGATGCTTGTTTGAAAGAAAGGGAATCTTGATTAATGACGAAGCTGGTGACTTTCTCCTAAAGATAAAATAACACTATTACCGACAAGAATTAAAACGAAATATAATAAAACTTACGTATTCACAAATTATTGAAATCTGAATTGATCTAATGGATTTTAAAACTTATTGAAGCATATATATTCAATACACAATATACTCAAAGATTCATAACATAGAGAAAACATAGATTAATGTATTTAGAGCTTGGAGTATATTCTTAAATGTTTAAGATACTTTCTATATCGTTATAAGATATATTCTACGGCATCTTTTAATAGTTTAGAAATTTGACAATTACAACAAATAATGAAAATAATTTTATTAGAAATTAATTTAAATATTAAAGTTTTTCAAAATATATTTATTTCTTACTTTTATAGCTGGTCTCTTAGTACACTCTATTAAGAAATACCCATCAATATATTAATGTACTCTTTTGGGGAATACCCGCCATTGTTCAATCTCTATTTGCTTTCATATCCTGGCACATTAATTAAATTATAGTAGGTGATAGAAAAACAGTAAAGTTCATGCGTTATTAGCGTAGATGGTTACACATTGAATGCTGTCTTATTAATAATTAATAATTAAAATTATCATACCGCTATTGATAAAATATTACACTCGACATTTTATTGATAGATTTTTTAATTTGTTATAATATATATCACCATGTATCGGTAAAAAACATAATATTAGCACAAAAATAATGGTCACCAATTTGATTGCCATTGTAAACTGCTTCAAATTTAAAAACAATTCAAAGTAATTTATGAATATAGAATAATTATTTTCGCTGCAAATAACAGACACTAATGCAAACTGAAAACTTTATATTTCTCATTGTATCTTTGCAAGAGTATTATCAACGTGTTGGTGAAGCTTTTATTTAAAATGAAATAGTTATAAAAAAATCAAAGAAAATATAAGTTAATGGGCTAAATCTTTACATGTTAAGTTTAAATAGCCACGCAAGTTTGCTTATTGTTATTTTTGTAACAGATTGCATATTCTATATTTAAAATTCAATAAAAAAAATCTTGTGTAGCGGGTGATCGAGCTGCAACAATGGCAGAAATGACGATAAGCAAACTCCATCGCTTTTCGATGCGTCACCATCTTCTTCAAGTGGCTGGCAGATGTTGCAACAAAAACACACAAGGGCAGGACTCGGTTCTAAGGATTTTTCCTCGTGGGAACCACGAAGTCAAGGAGGGTAGAGGTCAATCCTAGAGCATCGATCCTCCTTTAAAATAAGATGATCGAATCACTCTTATTGTCGCACTGTTTGACTGTTCCAATACAATCATGAAACGATACTTGGTCGTGCAAGTACCGATAATAGACGTGTCGATTCTAAAAATTGGCTCTTTTAGGCCTGGTGCAGACGTTCGTACGTTTTTCTTTTTTATCTTCTAGGAAGAATAGATAAATACATATGAACATCTTTCATTTCGACGTTTGTCTGACTCCTTATCTTGAAAGAGACGTCTTCTTTCTCTAGAAATCTTCTTTCTCTAGAAATTCGAAGAGTTAGTTACGTTAACGAACCCCAGGTAAGTAGTTGTCACCAAACCTTGCGGTTTGATCGTTGCAAAGTACACAAAAGGACGTAAAACAGACAGATTGGAAATCAATTGGTTGCCCCAAGGCACTGAGAGATTATTTCCATCATACCGTTTGACTACCTTCACTATTATTAAACACTTTTTAAGGTCAAAATCAATTATCTATAATAAACACATAGTTTAGTTTTAAATTAACGATAGTTTAATTAATGTATTAAGAAGATGAATTATAATAGAACAATAAAATATATTGGACTTTCGAATTTCTTTCGAAATTGGCTTTCATTAAAATATATCGTCAACCAAAATAGTATAAAGCGTTTTTTTTCGTATTCTTGACGTCAAAAATAATGGAGCAATTTTTTTTTTTTTTTTTGCACTACCTTGCAGTATATTTCTACACAGTACACAAATGCAATTAAAAAAAAGATATTTATTTCTTCGATTTACACAGCGTGTATTAATATTTAAAATATATAATTCGCTATAATAATACATGATCGTAGAAATTTTAAAATTTTCACTATACGTCCGGTAAAAATTACATGATCCGTGAAACTTGTCACTCTAAATTTTACTTCATTTTTTTTGGTGATCTGTAAAGATATATTCACATAAGCACTTTTGTAGGGCATGTCTTGCGCTGACATATTTTTGTTTACTTTACATTAAAGTCATACAAATATAAATTGTACAAATGCTTCGTTGATAAAAGCGTTTATAACCATTTAAGATTATTCTATGTATATTGATAAAGATAGGTAATTCCCCTTATTATTTCCTCCATTCAGATTTCTCGCAGTGTCACGTCACAAATAAAGCTCGTGCAACATTATCGTATCACACACTACACACAGTGCTGTCCACTGGTGGAGTCGCTTAAGAGGGTATTCCAGTGTGAAACTTTAAAAAAATCAGAATTGTTTTCTTAATTTTCTTAATTTTGAAACTATATTTTTAAAGCTTCTGCTCAAATTCCTAAAAATAATGAAATTATAGCTGTTTAAAGAACGTGACAGCCACCATTATTATTATAGGGGCACAAAACTTTAAACACGTTTTTTAAAACGGTATCCATGATGTCTCCAAATGTTACATGCATATTCAGTGAACATAGTGAACATAAGGCTATAGCTCAAACCAGAATTATTTCAAAATTCCTTTTGTAGTTTTCAGCTATGTAAATTAAAAAAAATCGACAATCAAACTTCAGAGAATTGCCATTTTCCTTTTCTTCTGGCTCCTGCTATAACCACACTCATATCAATCAGAAATATCTATTGTGTATTTCCAATTTAAATGAACAGGAGATCCAAAATGACGGACATGTTGGTTTCACCTTTTTTCAAATGAAAAAAATTATATTTACTCTCGAAACATGTATAAACAAAATCTGAAATTTGTACTGCACAATATTTTATATTTTTTTTATAAACAAATATTAACAGATGAGTATATGCCACTAGAATACCTCCTTAAGCCCAGTATCCATTTGATGTATATTCTCGAATCGTATCCCAATTGCGTATCAAATTCAAAGATATGCAACGGATTCGATCGGTCATTTGTCGTTTTTTCGTCGTTACGTCAAAAGAATTATACGATATTTAACTGAATTAATGTGGACGGGGAGCGTTGCATTGTTTCGTTGCACACTTTTTTTGGTCATAAACGATCAAAGCACTTGGGAGATTCTCCACGTTTCCTCAGGTCTAGTCATGCGGCCAGCAGCTGTGGATTTAATCCTTTGCGGTCTTAAATTTTCTGACTTCTGTTATGTACGAATATATCTTGTAATATTTTGGCGCAAACATCTAATAATCATTTAATCAGTGTTTGTAATATAATACAGTTAAGAGAAGAGTAGGTCGATTCGTGTTAACAACTTTTAGATGAAAGCTTGAATATAATTAGTCCACATTTGCAAGAAAAAGACGAAGGTTGTAAGCCTCGATCGTGAAATGCTAGGAAAAATATGAGAAACGCGCTTTAAACATGAAACATGTAAAAGGAAGCCTGAGTTACGCGTTTGATAATGTTTCAAAAGATATCGTATTAATATTAAATTGCAAACAATGGTAAAACATATTATTGTAGATTATTGCTTCATTCGTATCAAATATATTATTGCGAATTAGCTTCTCGTTGTTACAATAAGGATAGATACACAAGTCATAGGGTATAAAATATTAAACATTTTTTGGACGACAAAGGGTTAAAACCCCAGTTAAAAATTTTTATATCCCTCAGTGTGATGAGTATCCTGGTGAAGATAAAAGCAAATACGACAGTATTCGGATTGTTTTTGATATTATACAAATTACGTTCAACCCATTCATAATATTCTCATGATACAATAAGAAATATAAAAGTTTTTAGATTTTCGTGTATTGGATCTCAGCTGACCTATCCCAGACCTAATATTTTAGATACATTCTTCTTAAAAAAAAAAAATTAATGAAAAGTAATTTCATTCTTAAGTTTATAAATGAATTTATTTATTTCGTAAAACGTTTAAGGTTTATTAAAAGTTTCAAAATTAAGAAATTTAAGAATGACCACGACATCAAGACCAATTAAAACCAATTAATACTTTGAAGACGGTCTGAATTCAAACAACGTTTGAAGTAATTCGAAATCTTTCGGTCTTGAAAATTTCATTACCCAGCATCCACTACTATTTATGTGACTTTGTCACACCATACACGCCATATTGTTCCTCCAAGGGTCGTACATCCATAATACGCTATCAATCACGTTCTTTAACATTAAATTTGGATATGTTAGCCATCAATAATTCAGTTAATAATAATACGAATGATTACTTCCTATCAAGTATTTATTAATCAGTACAGACAATAAATATGGAAAATTGAAAAAGATGTTGGGAGTTTCGTTTTGTTTTCTGTATTGACTAATTTCCGGCAAGAAGAATTACGCTGTACAAGAAATATTCATTATAGTAAAATAGAATTTGAAGGGCAATCTCACCCTCTAAATATAAACATCCACCTTTAAGATAAAATAGAGTTTCATCAAAATCGATCTGGTCAGTAAAAAAGTCTCCGTACACGATAGTAAAGATTTCAGAATAGGGTCAGTTGCCCTAATATGGAATATTGTTCTTTATACAGGGTGTTCGGCCACCTCTAGCAAAAATTTTAATGAGCGATAGTAGAGGCCAAAATAAGACGAAAATCAAGAATACTAATTTGTTGATGGAAGCTTCGTTAAAAAGTTATTAACAATTAAATTCAAAAATTTCAAATCGTTGTGGAAAAATTATTTTCGGTTGCGGGGGTCAACTACAATCATTTTTGGTGAGTACACATACCTCCGAAATCCTATCCACTTTCGAGAAAAAAAATCGAGTAGGTGCTGAAATTTTTCGGCGAAAAAAAATTTTTCAAATCGTTCTAAAAAAATTATTTTCGGTTGCGGGGATCAATTACAATCATTTTTTATCATTACACATACCTCCGAAATTGTACGCACTTTCGAGAAAAAAATTCCTTACTGAAAATCCAATTAGGTGCCTAAATTTTTCAACGGAGAAAAAAAATTGCAAATCGTTGTGGAAAAATTATTTTCGGTTGCGGGGGTCAATTACAATCAGTTTTTGTCATTAGACATACTCACGAAATCCTGCCCACTTTCGAGAAAAAAAATAGAGAAGGTGTGAAATTATTCGAGAAAATTAAAAAATTGCAAATCGTTGTGGAAAAATTATTTTCGGTTGTAGGGTTCAATTACAGTCATTTTTGGTGAATAGACATACCCCCGAAATCTTGCGCATTTTCGAGAAAAAAATTCAGTGAGGGCGGCACTTTAAACGTTAATAACTTTTTAACGAAGCTTCCATCAACAAATTGGTATTCTTGATTTTCGTCTTATTTTGGCCTCTACTATCGCTCATTAAAACTTTTGCTAGAGGTGGCCGAACACCCTGTATATACGTTTCACTTGCTTGCAGAACTTTTATAAAAACTTAAATTTTATGAATCTATAGGAAACTTTATGTCCTCTTGACTGGTAACAGTCAAATTTAAAATATAATAACGGTTTAGGAAATGTTTACTTTTTTTTTACTGAGGTCCTCATTTTCCATATTAGGCTCATAGTGCTCGAAATATGGAATAATGTATTTAGGGTGTATAGGGTATTCAACCACCCCTGGGGAAAATTTTAATGGGAGATTCTAGAGGCCAAAATAAGACGAAAATCAAGAATACTAATTTGTTGATCGAAGCTTCGTTAAAAAGTTATTAATTTTTAAAGTTCCGGCTGTAGAACAGCAATCTGCGATCACAGACGAATTTTTATCTCGAAAATGGGTAGGAATTCGTGGGTATGTCTATTGACCAAAAATGGTTGAAATTGACCCCCGCAACCGAAAATAATTTTTCCAGAACAATTAAAAATTTTTTTTTTCTCCGAAAAATTTGTCTAACTACTGAATTTTTTTCTCTAAAGTGGATAGGATTTCGGGGGTATGTGTATTCACTAAAAATGATTGTAATTGACCCCTGCAACAGAAAATAATTTTTCCAGAGTGATTAGATATTTTTTAATTTAATTTTGTAATAACTTTTTAACGAAACCTCAGTCAAGAAATTGATATTCTTGATTTTATTTAAACATAGTATTTCATATTACGAGCACTATAAGGTTAATATGGAAAATGAGGACCTCAGTAAAAAAAAAGTAAACATTTTCTAAACCGTTATATATTAATATAAATATATATAATTATATTTATATTTGAAGAAATAATCGAGCTACCACAAAGCTGATGCACTTACCTTATCATGTATAATATTAGGTCAAAGTTCACCTTGCAAAACTCAGACAGTGATATCTTCTTCAATATTTTTTTACGAACAAGTGTTGTTTTGAAATTCGGGCACATAATGACAATCGTAATCGATTTATCGGCAACAAATGGCAAAATCACAATTTTTTTATATTGCGGTGTTCCAAATTAGGAACATATTCCATATTAGGGCAACTGACCCTACGTAAGTCAAAATGAACAACTGGTATTAAAATGTTTCAATTGTAAGCAAATATACAAAAATAAAGTCTGCTCGTGAGGAATTAAATCGAACTGCTAATCTGTTACAGCAGCTCGCGTAAGATGTACGGAGACTTTTTCGACTAAGTGTAGAATATCGATAGGCAAGTTACGGCAAGGTATTTATTATAATTAGCAACATTAGCTATTAGAGATGATACAAAACAGTATACGTGAATTATCAGGATGAAACGGTAGGTAATTCTCTGTTCCGTGAATTATTAACACCTTTGTTTAGTCTAATGGAGGAAATAAAATTACCGTATGGTCGTGGTCAGTAGCTGATACATTTTATCATTGCCACTAACGTGACTATGCTCGACACTTGAGTGAGTCGATGTATCCAGTACAATCTGAAATCACCATAGTTCTTATTAAATCAACAAGCATAACTTTTTTTCTTTTGTTAATCGTAACAACGACGCAGGGTCACCATACGTACATTAATAATCGTTTTCGAAATGTACTCGAACTGTCGATGTTCTCGTTCAAAATATACTTTCTAACTCCTAGCACGTATGTATGAATATACGTGTTCCAATCAAGATTATCCGTATCTGTGATGAAATTACTAGAGTCCTTCAACGTTTTCACTTTCTTCGTCAAATCGCCCATGTTGTTTCTATGAAATTTCCATTCGTTCATGCCGAAATATTGAGCGGCTGATGTTGTCCGGTCGTAACGCTTGGCCGCTTTCATCATTCTGGAACGACGCTCGTTATTAAAATTGTTCGATGCATTCGTTGCACGATTCCGACACTTACAAGGGTTTGTTGCCCAAAAGCCTCGAAACTAAATCCACAACGATCGCCGGGAAGAAATGCAGCGTAATCGTTATAAATTTGTACATAAAAGTGTTCGTGCTCGTCATCACGCCTGGATACCATACTATGTATTTCGATGGCGACTCTATGGCGTATTTCTCAATAAGCTGCGCCAGGAATCCCCATCTATCGTGACAGAGTAGCAATGTTTACAAAATCATAATAGTTGCTTATGCACATTACGGTTAAAGATTAAAAGCAATCGTCTGGAAAATTTCATTGTTAGAAATATTATTCTCTGCGTGTTTACCTCAAACAGCCCGCACTACTGGTACAATTGTAAACCTTAATGGACTTATTATTATTCTGTTGTATTGTACTGTGCCACGACGCACATATTATCGTGTCGATTACATAATCGACTGGCACTATATCAATAGCAAGTTTCGCGTTACACTTAATTAATCTGACAGTACCTCTGGCAACTTCCAATATCACACCTGCAATATTCGAATGGATTTGATTTAGAAGGCATTCTTAAGCAAATGCTAAATTACACAGTAGAGATTTATACATTCAGTAATATTTCAATTAGCTAATCTTAGTTCCAAATGATTATTTCGTTTTTCCTAATGTTGAGTCTTTTTATATTAGGCTTACGAAATTCGTCAATTTAACAGTTTCAAGTTCTATAAATACAGTGGCTAAAATAATGATAGGTTCATCTTATTAATATCAGATTTATTGATATTTAATAATATAAAGGTGCCCTTTAATCAACGTTTTTTATTTTATTTACTATAATTATACATTTTTGAGATAAGTAACCATATAATATAGATTAGTTTAATTCATATTTTTTAAAACAATTACTTGATTTGACTCAGTTAAACGTTTCCTGCAGTCCATTATGCTATGAAGGTTCAACCAAATTTAAAAAGTATTTGGAAATTATAGTTCTACATTAATTTCAAGAAAAATACATCAGAATTAACAGCATTCTTTTAAAATAGTACCTTGAACCTAAAGTTGTTTAGCTTTACTAATACTATGATTTTTTACAAATTTTTGAAGAAGTTGTTCATAGAAATAGAAGCAAAAAACATACGATTGCGAATAGTGAATCTATACTTATTTCGACCACTGTATAATTACACAACTCATATATTAATATTAAAAGAAAACTATAGAATAACTTCATAACTCATTTACTATAATAATACATATTATATTAAAGTCTTTACTTTAATAGATACAGGATGTTCGGCCACCCCTGGGAAAAATTTTAATGGGAGATTCTAGAGGCCAAAATAAGACGAAAATCAAGAATATAAATTATTTGACTGAGGCTTTATTAAAATGTTATTAAAAAATTTCAAATCATTCTGAAAAAAATATTTTTGGTTGCAGTGGTGAATTACAATCACTTTTGGTGAATACACATACCTCCAAAATTCTACCCATTTTCGAGAAAAAACTCGAGAAAGTGCTGTTTTTTGGCAAACAAAAATTTGTCAAATCGTTCTAAAAAAATTATATTTAGTTACAGGAGTCAATTACAAGTATTTTTGGTGAATAGACATACCCTGAAATTCTACTCACTTCCGTGAAAAAAATTCTTTACCGAAAATCTAATGTGAGACCAGAAATGCTTCCCTCATGCGAATCTTTAAAATGTGATAACTTCTGAACGGATCGGAGGATTTTAATGTTTCAAACGGCAAATAACGCGTATTTTGGTGAAGAATATGTAGTAATTTCAAAAATATTCGAAAAGTTGTTCCTTGACCCCGTAAAGTGAGAAAAACCCCATAAAAATGGTCCTATTTTCAAACGGCCATAACTTCGGCAATAGTAAAGGTATCTCATTGAAATTTAGTATGAAAGTAGAGCTCATGGGTATCTTCAATAAAGTATTAGACAATATTTACGTACAGCGTCAAACAAATTTATTAAAAATAAAAACCGAGTGTTTAAAAAAAATCGACAAAAAGAAATTTCAAATCGTTCTGAAAAATTATTATCATTTGCGGGGGTCTATTACAATAATTTTTGGTGATTAGATCTACCCCCGAAATTCTACCCACTTTCGAGAAAAAAATTCGAGAGGTTGTGAAATTTTTCGATAAAATTAAAAAATTTCAAATCGTTCTGGAAAAATTATTATCATTTGCAGGGGTCCATTACAATAATTTTTGGTGATTAGATCTACCCCCGAAATTCTACTCACTTTCGAGAAAAAAATTCAGTACGGTCGGAACTTCAAACGTTAATAACTTTTTAACGAAGCCTCCATAAACAAATTAGTATTCTTGATTTTCGTCTTATTTTGGCCTCTAGAATTCCCCATTAAAATTTTTCCCAGGGTTGGCCGAACACCCTGCATAATAGTTTCCTTATTGCAAGTAAAAAAGTCATTGTTTTCACTCTTCTATCAAATTAAAATTTTGTATTATTTAAAAAAAAAAATTAAGTGCTGCCTTTTCATTATATTAATTGCATTTATAATTGTACGGCAGATTTCTGTTGTGTATAACTTTGTAAGGAGTAGGTATTTTAAAGAAAACAGTTTGGGGTGACAGAACTGTGTCCTTCACCCTGATTACCCATATTTAAATATTTGATAATAATTCCACTAGTTTCGTACATTATCAGAAATAAATTATTTATATCGTGTGATTTTAAAATGTAGTATACCTGATAGTCCAGTACATTTGTCCAACCAGCCTGGAAATGGTTCTTTCTGAGCGGCGCCAACTATACTAGGTCTCACTATCGATATTGGTAAGTTCACTGCCTTTGTCCATATTACTTGTTCTGCTAAATTCTTTGTAAACGTGTACGTATTTGGATGGCCCTCTAAAATACTTTTCTCGAGGGTGTTCAACGTCTTATCGTCGAGACTGTCGCACATATCGATTACCGTGGATAGTTTCAACCTTGTGCTGCGATATCATTAATACTATATGAGAATTTCTATTAGAATGTAATCGCAGTATAAATCAATAACGCAAACTTTGATTCGTTATAACGTAGCAAAGACGAACAGAAATTCACGAGAAGCACAACGTGAACGTAGCAATAATATAATGTCAATTGATAATTTATAGAAATTCTAATGGTGCCTAATCGTCGGTATAAATCCACGAAAAGAAACATATGCTTACGTATAAATTGATTCATTGATCTCGTGTCGATTCGCGTTACTGTAAGCTGTGCTAACGTAGACGATGCTAACTAGATTTGTCATATCCTTGCACAGATCTATGACATGGTCCGTGCCCTTTGTATTTAAATTAACGGCCACTTTCAACGGTTCGTCGAATCTCACGGTGGCTGCGCTGTGAAATACTATGTTGACCCTCTGCGTTAACATAATTCTGTCCTCTGGCGAGAGACCCAAGTATGGTAATGATACATCGCCCTTCACAGGGCGTACTTTATTAATTGCGTTAGGGTTCACCACTCGGAGTCTGCCGAAAACCTGCAAACACGCGGCTTGTCTCAGATTTGACCATGGAATCTCAAAACGTGGATTAAAAACTCTCATGGTGTCGGTTCCAGTTCTTAAATATGAACGAAATTAATTCAGATGGCTGAACCCTAAAAAGCATACACTTAACCGAGCAATTGGAACTCTGAAATGCATGGCTCCATACAACGAAATTTATAACATTTCTCAAGCAAACGTAAACAAATGAAAATATCAAAATTTTTCTGGTCGAGATCGAAAGGAAAGATCAGATGGTGATGACATTTCCCCAAAAAATCCTTTGTTTGGATTATACGGGGAATATCTGTACATATATTCGTTCTGTATAATAAAGTAATATCTTTTAATTTTGTGACACGCTTTCACCTATAAAGAAATCACGTCTACCCTATGTACATTCCCGTTGAAACCCTTCAACGTCGATCTAAAACACTTTCTAATACCATCAATCGCTTCGACGATTACAATGATTACGGATGAATACTCCGGGCTGTTTGGATTTCTGAGCGATCGGTAGGAATCGTGAATTACGTACGGGATCTTTTTGCATCTCCCTGAATCGTTGTTCGATCGTTTTTCCCTTTTTCGGGCGTAGCAGTATATAGATCGAGGATAGATGTGGACACGAGCGTAGCAGCTTTTCGAGAAGAGCTTTCCCCAAGAAACCGGTCGCCCCGGTCAATAGAACCACTGAATCGGTGAAGAACGCATCGATCGAGTTTCCGTTTTTGTATGTTTCATCGTTCTCGTCCAACATTGTTTGTGCATTTATGCTGGCCATATTGGAGGACATTCAGCGCTAACTGGCGATTACGAAAATCTGTAAAAGAGAAGCAAGGTGCGTAACAGCTGGGTAGCAAACGAGGAAACAAACTGTTGTTTGTACTGTTGGTTAAAGTTTTGTAAAATATAATTTTACCGAGCTCCCTTGGCGAATACAAAATACAGTTGCGTTTGATTGGCCTTTTTGTATTACTTGTGTTTGTAATATTTTAATGATCGCACGTTTCACGTAAAGAATGTTCCCTGTTTTATCGACCGGATATTTTTAAATTCAACATTTTATAAATATTTAAATATTAGGTCTATATAGTTTTAGCATTAAACTAATATACAAATATGAAAGACTGTATCTTCGTATATTTTTTCTCGCTTAGAAACTTCCATCGCAAATTATTTCTGAATTTGTGGGAATTAAAGTCTCTGATCAATGAATTGAATTTAAGTCGATGAACTACCAACTGCCTTCGAAGACGATTCATCAATCGATTTCGTACGAACAGCTTGAAACAATTTTCTATACTGACATTGTGGACCAAAACGAAGCACACGAGGATGCTAGGAATATTATTACAGGGAATTATAAATGCTGGATACCATAATGGGTACACGAGGTAAAATTTGAACCTCGTCAAACGTAATAAGTTGAATAAATGACGACTGAAGTTTCGTTTAAGGGTACTGGATTTTTCACTTACGGTTTGTGTTTTAAATAAGAAAGGAACAAATGATTTGCAATGAAACATTTTCTAAGCTTTGTTCTGCTAACATGACATTTGGCTTCCCTCTTTATCAAAGATCGATATTAACGAATTGTTAAACGTCTGTCGTTGTCATAGTATGAGTCTTGTTTATAACGATCTTCGATACAATTAAAGTTTCTCTCTATAGGTGAACTTTTCTATTATACGACACATTGTGTTCAATTTAAATATACACTCGGTTATACAAAATTTATTTTGTTTAAAAGAAGTAGTAGAATAGAATTTCTTTCTAGTTTATACATTCAACAAAGTAGGTAATTCTATTAAAACATACAGAAATTACAAGTAATCCCCAAATAATCCCAGAAGATTAGTTTTATCGTTAAATTTTCTCTTCGAAATTGAGTAACTGAAGATGTAGTTCAGGATGTGGGATATATGTTAAAAACGAACGTGTGTAGTTTACAATATACAGGGTGTTCGGCCATCCCTGGGAAAAATTTTAATCGAAGTTTCTGGAGGCCAAAATATGACGAAAATCAAAAATATTAATTTCTTGACTGAGGCTTCGTTAAAAAGTTATTAAAAAATTTCAAAACATTCTGAAAAAATTATTTTCGGTTGCAGGGGTCAATTACAATTATTTTTGCTGAATACACATACCTTCAAATACCTACCCACTTTCGAGAAAAAAATTCGAGAATGTGCTGTTTTTCGGCAAAAAAAAAATTTGTCAAATCGTTTTAAAAAAATTATTTTCGATAGCACGGGTCGATTACAATCATTTTTGGTCATTACACATATCCCCGAAATCTTACGCATTTTTGAGAAAAAAATTCTTTACCGAAAATTTAATTTCTGGCCATAAATAGTTCCCTGAAATTAAAACGTCATAGCTTCTGAATGGATTGGACGATTTTAATGTTTCAAACGGCAAACAATGCGTATTTTGGTGGAGAATATGTAGAAATTCTAACAATATTGAGAAAGTTGTTCCTTGACTCTGTAAAATTAGAAAAACTCCATAAAAATGGTCCAATTTTCAAACAGCCATAATTCTTGCAATAGTGAATATATTTTAATGAAACTTTTTTCTGTAGTAGGGCTCATGGGTACCTACAAAAAAGTATTGGATAACTTTTCTGTAGGGCGTCAAACAAAATTACTAAAAATGAAAAACGAATTTCTAAGAAAAATCGACGGGGGTTACCTAAATTTTTCGTCGAAAAAAAAAGTTTCGAATCGTTCTAAAAAAATTATTTCTAGGTTCTAGGGTCAAATACAACCAGTTTTGGTGAATACACATACCCCCGAGATTCTACGCACTTTCAAGAAAAAAATTCAGTATGTTCGGAACTTTAAACGTTAATATCTTTTTAACGAAGCCTTCATGAACAAATTGGTACTCTTGATTTTCGTCTTATTTTATCCTCTGGAATCTCCCATTACAATTTTTCCCAGGAGTGGTTGAACACCTTGAATATTGCAAGTAAATAGTTGACATTCGTTGCATACAAGTATTCAAAATGTTTAATTAAAAAATCAACTTATGTCAATGAAAAGAAGGTTTAGGAGATTATACCATTGGATAGCCTTGTCCCAGAAGAGCGAAGCTGTACATAAAGCGGACGGGTGTCACTTTCCTCGCAGCTTTAAGTGAAAATCGTCTTTCGCTAAACGGATTGCTTGCTACAAGGATAGCTTAGAAGTTATGGCCATTAAACGACATCAAGGATTTACTGCAACGATCGATTACATAATCTACCTATGAACGTTCAGTTTACCATATCGTGTAAACTTTACTGCGTAAAAGTTCGATCGTATCTTACGGTTTATTTTAGATGCATAAGATAGAAAATTGGTTTCTAATCAACGAAACACCGCTCCTTAAAATTATAAATAACATAATGAGCCAGTCTCAATCAACCAATTAGTCCAATTAGGGTCTCGATGAAGACACAGTTGCACAAACCAATAAAATGGACTTTTAGAACTTATGGACGCTTTTATCCTTTCTCGATTTTTATCTTTTACTTTTGTAAGAGAATTCATTTTTATTAATCTGTAACGATCAATTTTGTAGAGAATTTCTCGATATATTCTCACAGTCCCAAGGAACAGAATTAATGTATACAAAAGAATGTAAACTGGCACAGTACTTCTAATTCCAAATATTCCCAAATCAAATTCACCGTAAACAAAACACGTTTTATTACAATAACAATAGTTAAATAATTGTATATATAACAGTATAGGATACCATTAATTTTTATTGCAGCATAAACGAACATCTGAAATGAACCGCAAAAACAATCGTAATGAGAATTTTTACAGAGAAAAATACATCGCCGTTCTCAAAGTCATGATTGCATTTCTTATTATTTATATTATAGTTCATGAATACGTATATAACGTCGATAAAATGCAGTAAACTTTAATGCACTTTCGAACAGCCATCATCTAAGAATTTACCGCCACTATCGTCTTCGTAGTCTTTCATCGATTTACTTTAAGCATTTTCAAGAATATACAGCTATAATCACTCACACATGCTTCATTTGAAACTATACCTACGTTAAAATTATCGTATGTTCTGACTCTAGCAGAACAGTTCCATTTCTTCGCAGTTTGTTCCGCTGCACCACTGTTCGAATCAAACGCTAATTTTCTCGATTTTATCAATTTCATTTTCATTAAACCTGACATCGAAATTAGTGACAGAAATGAGTAACATATTTATTAAAAAAAAAATTTTCTGGCTTTATGTTCGTTTAATTTTAATGATAAAATATTTTACAGAATTATTTTTCAAGCTTTACTTGAAATTAATCTTGGGATCATAATCTATAGACGTATTATTATATACGTTTTAAAAATGCATTTTTGAATTCGGACCACGTAAAACAAAATAAAACTTGTTTGGAGTTATAAAGGTTTGATTATAATGAACAAAAATATCAAGCGATTCATAATGGCACTTTGAACAAATACGCTGACCTAACTAAGATACTATGAGCACAAAATTTTACATCAAAATATACCATTTGAATATTTTAATACTAGATCTGTACCAATATCATTCCAAAAACAATTTCCACATTTATACTCACCCCTTATGGGTGTATAGATTAAGAAGTATGGAATTATGTGACCATTTTATCTCAAAATGAGGAATTCTGTACGATTTATTGAACAGTACTAAATCATAGATTATTTAAAAGTTTCAAATATCTATAAGTACCTTTTTTTAAACCATTTGCATCACTGACGACAATTATTGAGACAAATCACTGAAGTATTAAATTCGTAATATTTTTTCAAATATTTGTATTTGAATTGAATACAAAGAATTTAGTGATAGGAGAGTATTTATCATTTTCCGCATGATGCAAATGAGTTAAAGGAGATACTGTTGAGGTTGACAATGTTCTACAACATATGTAGTGGTCATTAACAGCGTTGGTATAACAACTCGACTCGAATTAATAAACACTCGAAAATTACACAATTTGCATCTGTATTACTGATCCATCAAAATAATAATTAACTTGCTAATCTTTAACGAGAGGTATTTAAATTACAAATAGGTGCAGGAAGAAATATAATTGCGTGACTCTGCGTCACCATCAGCCATTTGTGACTAATACGAATATGTAATACTTTCTGGAAGAATTGATCGGCGCGTAGTTGGACATTCTAGATATCGATCGGTCTTCCATTCTACAACCTATATTCGGTGTACACACGTTATGTACAAGAGAATCGGTGGACTGCTTTTAAATTCTTTTCTTGACTCGAGTCGAATCAAGTTTCCTAAAATTGGGATTTTCTATAAGCCTCGTATGCAACCGTGCAAATAAATGGACAAACACTCTGGTTCAGATAATAATAAAATGAGGATTCCTATATTTTTAGAATTATTAATTGGAATCCCTGTCGTGAACGTGTCGATCGATTGTCAATTATTTCGATATTGTAACTTCTTTTATTCGTATAGTCATAGAAGGTCCTTTTGAAAGGTACACAGTTACACAATTTTTTATGGTTAAGGACGTTAAGCTTGATGAAATTTACGGTAGATTGCCGTAAAAATATGGTAGAAATGACACGAAACGTGTAAATTTTTATTAGCGAATTAATGAGTTTCAAAGTGGCGGAACAAGGATTATCGATATGGAACGTCCAGTAACTCCAATCGAGGTTTCCCCTCCGGCTCTGGTAGCATTAATGAGCTTATTGCAAGTGACAGGTGAATTACAGTCGAACAAATCGTTGACAAGTGTAACGTAAGCATTAGTATCGCTTGTACCATTATTTACGGTAAGATGAACGTCCA